AAGTGACTGTATAAATTGAATAGCACATATAGTTTAATGAAGAATAGGGCACAGATTGTGTATCCAACACAACATAACACACGCAAAATGTCTACTTCAATTATGAAGCCTGCAATAAATAACGTTTCAATGATTCGTTGCTTAATTATCGTAACATATGTACGATTTTCCACTGAAACATACATAAAAACATTACAATTCATCGCATTTCCGGAGCTTCCAACCGAAAGCGATTGCACATTCCACAGCCAAACACATTCGACCACTCTTTCCCATTGTCTCTCTCTCTCTCTAGTCGTCTCTTTCCCTCTATCGGTTATTTCGCTCACTGACTGACAATCATGGGCCATGCACAACCGCTTTCGACTACAACCTCAAATTTCTAACGTATGCATATAATATTTATTAAATTGCGGTTAGTAATTTAGTGGTCGATATAAATTAAATTTAATGTTTTCCCCAAAATGTTTATCAATATCATTATAAAACATACACATTAAAATGGTTTTGCCGTGCGTCCCGAAATTTTCTTTTGACGCTCGTTCTCCCATATTCACTCAGTACCTCATTTTCCCCAACCATTGCGTGAAACGGCAAGCGATTCGATTTACTCTTGAGCTACGCACACGAAACATTTGATTCAATAGTAAAATGTGTGTGTTTTAGCATCGGAGGTCGGCCTATTTCGTCCAAACAAACATGCAGAGGCGTATACATACAAAACATACGCACCATCATATCAACATCACTTTTATACTCACTCTACCCTATACATACACACACACACACACACACACACACACACACATACACACACACACACACAAACGCATATATATAACTTGCAACCGAACGATTTACATCACTTTGTGCCAATGCACTCGACCATATTTCATTCATCATATTTAGCTCGGGCAAATATGACAACATTGCCAAAGGTTGATTCATGTCAACTGCAAATATCGTTTCAATCGGTAATTAAAATAATGGCAAGTCGCACGACGAATCCACCACAATGATGCGAAGGGAGAGAATGGGAGAAAAAGAGAAAATTGAGGGAAATAAAAAAAACAACGGCAACAAGAAAAATAACATCGCAGCACAAACAAATATCTGCGGGAGGTTAAAATGTCGACTCATTCCCATTTGCCAAAAATATCGCTGTCGTATCACAAACATTTGTTCACAATTCACATGAACCTGTTTTTTTTTATTATTAATTTTTTTCTCTCGCTTGATTGTTATTTCTTTCTTATTTGCGTAATATTCTTGTTTTGTCACCGCGCTCGTATTTAACACAGTTAACAGCTGTGAACTGCCTATATTTTCGATGCAGCAATATATCTAGATTGACATTCACGAACTGGGAAAAAAAATTATGAAACGATCGATCGATGTTTTGACACGATACGTAATTGCTCTCGCAAATATGTTATAGTGCCATCAATTGGCGATTGAACACCGATTATAGATCGCATAAAATTTTCTGCTTGATTTTTATCGCAAACATTCGCGGAGTACGCAAAACATACATACTCACTCGCGAAATAGTGAGAGAGAGAGAGAGAAATGGAAAAAAAAATGGCAAACAATCGAAAAAAATAAGCGCAAAAGTACGCACAGTTAAACGCACATAATAATAAAATACATATGACAATTTTCTCAGTTCATATTATAGTCGTGGAATTCTTTTGTGTGTGTGTGTGTGTGTGTCAACGCGTCTTACGAAACATTTGATGCACGTCGCATGGTCGTTTGGCAGAAGAAAAAAAAGAGTACAAACGTATTAAACCGAATTGAATGCTTCTTGTAGTTCACTAAAGCCTAATGGCTTAAAAATGCTTTAGCACAAGTGTTAAGTAGGCAATATATACACAACGACGAGATGGCAAACGAGAAACGTAGAAGAAGCAGAAGAAAGCAAGAGAAAAACGCACACGAAATCGTATAAGAAGTTTGTATATTGATGCGCTTGTGTTCTCAAAAATGAATTTGCACACCCTTCGCTCGGAATGAAGAAGCCATAGAGCCATCAAGGAGGCTCGCTCGCGCGCACTCAAAACCATCGACTGTGTATTGCTCCTCATTCAACTTCTTTGTTTGCGTCGTCGTCGTTTCAATCTAAATACTGAGGTAATTTACCAAGGCTAACGAAAAAAAGGGGTGCATATATAATCAAATAGACTTAATGCGGCTGGATTTCATTTCGTTGGGATGATTGAAGCAAAAAAATGAACATTTATAACTTAAGGTATCTCATTCCGGCTCTCGCTCTTTCCCTCACTCTCAACCTATTGCTCGCCCACTCTATGTTTACCATTCTGAATGCGTGCAAGGGTGTTGTTGATGTGCTGCCCGTGTTTCGTTTACTCTCTGCACCAAATTGAGGGTGAATTTGTGTTGTTGCATATCTTAAACAAAAGCATTTTGCCTATCGCATGCATCGCACAGACATAATTTATACACCTCCCCCTCCATTCAGCCATTCATTGTCAATATATTTGGCTTTGCACGTTGACTTGACTCGTGGAAAATTGGGGTGGCCTCCGACGAAAATTGTCCAGACATACGTAAAAATTGTTGCATCGAAGCGTGCTATCAACATTGATACAGCAAATGCTTGTTAAAATAGAGAGTGGGAGTGAGAGTGAGAGTAGGAAGAGGAAGACGAAATGTAAAACGGAAAGAAAAAGCGCTGAGCAGAACGCAAGTTTCTTCTAGCCTATTTCAATGGCATACACACACACACACACACAGTTTTCACAGTTTGTCTTCATTTCATTTTTGCCATTTGCATTACGTATGCACGCTGCTTCTTTTCATATATATACATATAGACAATTTACCGTTGTCTATTCAAATCACATGATGAACATCTTCTTTCTGCTTCTCATGTTATTCTCTTTTTCCTTTCTTCTACTCTGCCGTAACAATATTGCGAATGGCATATGCTCTTTCGTTCGCTTTGCGTGTACATGGCAGATAGTGCGACGACAAAATATACAGAAAATGAAATGAATGAAAAACATACACCAGAGATAGAGTGAAAAAAGGGAAAAAATTAAGTCTGAAAGTGAATATTTTTTTGGTTCATTCCAAAATATGAACCACGCTCTGTCGTGGTGCTCGCAGGAAGTCATGGCTCAATGCTAAATAGAAACGTTTCTGCATTTCGAATGGTTTTGACGCATCAAACGGTAGAGAGCGAAAAAAACAAACAAGTAAGTGAGATGCGGGGAAAAAATGTTTCGCAGAACATTCGCTATTGAATGTACGCCAGACAAGGATAAATGACGAAAATATTTATTATTAGACGTTATTATATCATCTTTTTGTAGCGTTTTGCTCCTTGCTGACTTTTCCATTTTACCTCTCGACCCAGCAAGCGAACGAGCGCATTCGCGTTCACAAAAGTCGACAATGAGATCCGTGAATAGCATGTGTCCATAAAATAGCATTCAACGCTTGAGCGAAAAAGAGATAGAAAAAGAGGGAATTTTTTTTAAAAAAAATAGCACACAGAGACGCTGGCTGTTCAAAAACTCTTCAAAAAGCTTTTATTACGCGTTCACAATTCGTAGTGCATGCAATTTCATGCCGTGGATCATGGGGCAATTTGGAGAGCACTTTCCACCAGTTTCAACAGACACACGGGCAAAGAATTAAATTGCAATGATTGCGCGCGTACACACAGAAAAGAATCCCCGGAAATTTAAGGTGTTCGCCGTAAAATTTGACATTTATATATAAATTTCTATGTACATTTTACCGGCAACACTTGAATTTTCCGGGCGATGACATAATTTCAAATATTCCAACAGAAATTAGCGCCATCTGTCATTTCAAGCGGTAAAATATATATAGTATTTGATAAAATGTTCAAAAATATGTCATCGCCCGGAAAATTGAAGTGTTGCCGGTAAAATGTATATAGAAATTTATATATAAATGTCAAATTTTACGGCGAACACCCAAAATTCCCGGGGATTCTTTTCTGTGTGTAGACCTACGTATAAATACTGTTTAAAGCCGCGTTGCATGGAATGGAATGCAATGCGTTCTCATTTTAGCAAAATATTCCATGAATACGTCCCCGGAATGCCGTTTCGTCGCTTGTTCAAACTCTATGCAGAAGCACCAGCGCCAGCCAGCAGCCAGCATGCGAAAGTTCATCATTGGCATTACGGACAATTTTTTTCTGTTCTGTTCTCTTCCCATACCCTGTGTCGGTATTTCAATTTTAAATATTTGCAAACGCAAATTGGTGTAGCTTAAGAATTATTTACACAGATTAAATCTTTTTTTTTCACCAAATATCTATTTGCCCTATCAACACCGTCGCAATGTTGTCATTTTCTGTCGTTGTTGTTGCAACACAAAGCTATCATCGTTTCATCAAAATTTTCTATCGCGTTGTGTCATATTTTTTCATACGTACGTCCCTTCTGGTAGATGCTAACCGCTTTCGATTCACACATTCAACATATGAAACTAAAAATCGCCCGTTCGATCTATTTTTGGTTATTGCAGGTGTAAATCAAATTGTGCCCATAAAACAACGGTACAATTACGTGACGGTGCGAATTTTCTATTCAATTTTCAATGAAAATATCATTAAATATTTGACTTGATTGGTTTATGAATTTGGTGGCTCGCTCTCGTTTGTTCGCTTGCCCGCTCCGCCCGCTTGATGCAAGTGAAGCCATTACAAAATCTGAAATGGAATATAGCGACGAATGAATGGGCGAGCGCGCGGACCCTGTGGGAAAAAGGATTCAAAAGTTCTTTCGATACGGCACATATATAGAGATAGATGTGTGTAATGTTTCGAATACGTTGCTGCGTCAGCAATTCGGATTTCGATCCATGGGAATACCCATCAAATTATTGTGCTTTTAGGTAGGGTTCGACCATGAATTATTTATATTTTCTCAAAATGTGTTTATATATATATATGAATGTAGTATATATTCGCAATTTGTTTTACAAGCAACACTTACCCTGAAATGCGGCCTCTCGGCTCAATTCCGATTCAATGCATTGTACAGCAATTACAACCAGCAGAACAGGTAATCCAATATTTATCCACATTTTATTCCAACCACCGCACATTTTTTGCACCAACATTTTCCACAAGCCAATTTATTCTCTTCCTCTCTCTTTCATACACAACACACACTCTCTCTGTTTCTCTCTCTTTTCTTCTTTCCTCCTTTTCTTCGCTTATTTTTGTTTTATTTTTTTTATTTTGTATGTTTGTCTTTTCGCGAAGGCGCGCGATTTTCCCATTCGGTACCCTCTTTTATATGTATGGATGTTGCAAAACCGTTCTTTAGCTTAATTTCAATCGTGTAGATTTGCTTTGTTGTATTGTATTGTATTGTTGAGGTTCGGTGTGATTTCACATCAAATTTTCAAGATCATCGTAAGAGATGAATGCTGTTAATCGAGAAAAGAGCAATGCACTTGTATGTGTATACAAGCACTTATCTGTACGACTGCCGACCGACCGACCCACAGAACATTCGTTTTGTGTATTTGTAAGTGTGTATGTGTGCTTCTTAACTTTCGCCTCTTCGGTAATCTCTGGTGTGACGACGATGGCCACAAATAAATAACGAATACGTTTTTGCCAATAAGACTCTCTCTGCCAAACACACAGAGAGAGAGGGAGTTTGATATTTTATTCGACAATGCCACTTGCCTTGCTTGCTATTGTTACATCGCGGCAAACCACCACCATTCACTACTCTGTCTCTGTTTTTTTGCCACTCACTTTGTTTTGCAGTCCGTACCGAATTAAAGCATTTACGTGGTCGCCAAACTTTTCTCCAGCGTCTCACTTCAATCGGTCTCTCGTTCCTTCTCACTCTTTATCTATATCTCTCTCTCTCTCTCTCTCCTTTTCTCAATTCAACTTGATTCACTTCGTTTGTTGACTTTCAACAGTTACAGTTACAGTTACCATCCGAATGGGGGCCTATTCCTTCAGCTGAATGGTGGTCATATAATAAAAACCGTAATAGATTTATATTACTTCGAGTTGGAAATAAACGAGCGAGAGAGAGAAAAAAAATGGTTTCTTCTCATATGATCGCGAATGTAGATTTCACCTTTCGGATTTTGTTTCTCATTTTCTGCTCAGCTCCCTTTTTATTATATATACGTATGTTATATTATGTGGTATATGTGTATGTTTTTTTACTGTTTATAAATAATTGATGGAACCAAAAGGAAAATTTGTTTGCGGCAAAGTTTTGTTATGGCTCCGTTTTCATGTACATATAGGTGCTTTAATTTTCATTCTGTTACTCTTTTGACGCTCAAAATACAATTCATTCGCATGTAATAAGTTAATAGAACTTGCGTGTATTGCCGTTTTCTGTTTATTTCATTTTAGTCGATGGAACACAAAGGAACAACGACGCCGTCACATTGAACGATGGCAAAGGTAAAACCAACACTGAATTTTGTCGTTTTTGCCGTACACAAAAGCTCAAAAGTAACACATAAATTCTCATTCGAATTTCATTTGCAGCGCGACGCTATATTTTCCTTTTCACGTCTCGTTCGGCGGGCTCCAGTTTGTTCGTCTCGTTGTCTCTGGGCTTTGCTATCTATGTTTACGTTGCCAGCACGCATCGACCAATCTTCAGCTCACACACATTCAAATGCGACTAGATTCACAGCGCGAGCAAAAGAAAATCATCGAATCTATATCAAATCAACTGAAATACCTTCAAGGGACACGCACGCACAAATACACGCATCAGTTTTTGTTTTGGGGGAGACGACGACGACAACAAGAGAGAAAGAAACACAGTCGAAAAGTATAAAGCAAACGACACAAATTTACTGTAAAATATTAATAGAAAAGAATGGATTCGACAGGGAGTGAAAAAAACGAGGCAAAATCCATCAACTGATATCTTGTTTTCTTTATATACTTATTATTTTGGATTGATTCTTTTGATATGTCGCTGTCTTTCTATTCTTTCCTCTTTTTTTTTTGTATTCAAACAAATCTTTTAACGGATGTCTCATTTATTTCGATATGCTGATTTGGGCTGAGATATGCGAAACAAACAAAAAACATATATAACGCACACATCACACACCGAGCCAACAGCCACTTCGATACACGAAACCACTTCGACACACGAAACGTACTCAATCACTTGCACGATTCCAAATTGGCAGCCAAATTTGATGTTGTTCGGTCTTTGTCTCTTATCAACACGGAGTCTCCGCGCACTGAATCGTCTTTATTATTTATTTGAAATTCGCATAATCCACCATGGTTTCGGGTATCAATGAAAATATTTGGGTGTATGAGTTGTCTTTTCTATTTTGTTCGGTTTCGGTTTTCTGTATCCGTGTCGGTGTTTTCGTTGCTTGACGATGTCAATTAACAAATAGAAACAAAAATTAACTGATTCTAGCCGAAAAATCGTCCGAAAAATTAAGTGATTCAATCAATTAAACGCATTGATTTCTCCACGTACGAATGTACGTCTAGTGGGCGATCAGCGCGTTAACACAGTACCAACACGATGGAAGAACACATGAACCAAGCGATGATTGTTTGGTTTTCGATAGAATGAAAAGCACTGGTGTCACAACTACTTGAACTCTCATCTCCAACTGAAGCCGCGAATTGTGAGTCAATGCTTTGAAACAGGCATCATTCAGTTGCTACTGTGCCATTCCGAATGGAGTACACACAATTCCATTGCTATTTTTTTCCGATAATTTTCCACTCGCACGCACACAACGGTATGCGCGCGTACATTGAATTTACGAGTAAGCGGTAGCATGTGTGTTGGTTCCCATGTTGTAAGATTCAATGGATCATATTTTCCATCCACACTGTGGCCACCGAAAACGAAGACATTTTACTGAGGGGGTGCATAACAGTACGTCACCGATTTTTGGACTGGCGCACAACATTTCGCCATAGCTGATAGTGTTGTTTTGATCTTTTTCGATAGAAATTCAGTGTTTTCCATTTATATTTCTTACGAAATGAATTTTAATTCAATATTTTACACAAAAAGAATTAAATTTCTATCAAAAAAATCGCAACATTATTTGTTTTCACCGAGTTGTAGTGCAACTTTCAAGTTTTTCAACTGCCACCTGAAGTTGAAACGATTCAAAAATTGCTTGTCAATAGGGATTGTACGATGACGTTTAGCACCAAACCAACAATGACACATGCACAGCGAAGAGTTTGACACTTTTAAAACCGAATACCCGTTAGTGATACAATCTGCTTATTCACAGTCGTCCACTGTGTCTCGTTTGTTTATTTGTACGACCGTGATTTGCTTTGCTTTTGTTTCTGTCGGTTCTATCGGCACTTATTATGTCTGCGATAAATAAACGATCAACTCGAAAACGCGCTACAGTTGCCTATGTAGTGTCGTCCAGTGAGAGCGAAGACGAAGCAAGTCCAAAGAAAAAGCAAAAGTATTACATTGTTGCGTTTCATTTTATCGGTACTTGAGTTAATAGTTAATCATTACGATATTTATATGATTTTATTTTTTGGACTGATAGAAAAATGGGATGTTCTGGGTCAAAGCAAAAGAATGTTGTCAATGAGACCATAAGCCGCAAACGAAATGCGGAAAATGTTGTACAGAATGTGGAAATGGTGAAAGGAAAAACTGCAGCAAAACCAAGCCGGCAAAAATTGGCACGTGTCGATGCTGCAAAATCGGATGAGCAAACCACCGGTTGGACTGATGTAAATACGTCTGTACAACGTTCAGTTACACCTCCACCACGTGTAATTGTGCCACCACCGTCACCACCAGCACCAGCATCGAAACGAGCGTCGAAATCAACACGCAGTAAATGGACCGATGAAGAGCTATTGTGTCAATTGCAATTGTTGGATTCCGAAACCAGTTCAAACATTGTTCGCATGTTTGATGAGGGCAACACAATTCCATTTATGTGCCGTTATCGACGTGAAATGATTGGAAACCTTAGTGCGGATGAGTGAGTTGAGATCAAATTTCAAAAACAACAACAACAACAACATTCACGGCAACTCTTTCATGTTGGAATTTGTATGATGTGAATTTTCGTTTTCAGAATGCGCGACATCAAAATCACATACAATCACATCAAAAATATTCGTGCGCGTGCCGAAACCATTGTTAAGGATTTGCAAAAACGGGATCTGCTTGACGATGAAATTGAAGAGGAAATTTTTGCAGCTAAATCATTGGACGCTCTTGATCATTTGGTGAGTGGTTTAAAGATTAGATTCAATTGGAATTATTTACAGTGAACATTTTTCAATTTTTTTTTCCGTTGCAGTACGCACCATTCAGAGCGGCCAGCAAATCATCATTGTTTGAGCGTGCCAAGGCACTCGGTCTTGAAGATGCCGCCAATAAATTGTTACATGAATCGCGTTGTTCGCTGAATTTCTCCGAATTCGTGAAGAAATCCACCGACGGTCTTGATACCGTGGATAAGGTTAAAGAAGGTGTTAAAAATATCGTTTCGCATATTTTTAGCAAAGACACCGATGTTTTGGAAGCCATCGAAAATATGTAAGAGTATTTCAGTTGGATTTTCATCATCACAGTATCACATTAAGTACTGTTTGTTTATTAGATTGAAGCGGCACAACAATGGCATCAAAATTGAAACGTCTGAAAATACAAAAGTCACGAAGGCACACAAAGAAGACATTCCAAAGGGTGATAGCAAAAAAGGTGACAAGAAACGCGGTGATAATCCCCGAAAATTTGAGATATACTTCAATTTTCAGGGATACTTGAACAATATGCACTCACATCAAACGCTTGCCATTAATCGTGGCGAAAATCTCAAGGTACATTTATTTATCCACATTCAAAATTTGCTTTGCCGAAATCACGAACTAAACACAGACATTGTTGTTTGTTTACAGTTCTTATCAGTTAAAATTGTGATACCCGATCGCATTCAAAACGAAATATACAAACTCATCCAAAACAAGTATTTTGTTAACGCAAACAATCCGGAGTACAAGAGCCTGCTATCAGCCGCACTAAACGACGCATACTCGAAGAAATGTGAGACATTTTACTTAAGATACACAACTATGTGCATATTTTTAAACTCGAAATGTTTTTTTTTCATCGCAGTGAAACCACTGATGAATCGTCAGATTCGTTCACTTTTGACAAAGAATGCCGAAAAAGAATCGGTGGAAGTGTTTGCGAAAAATTTGAAGCAACTTCTTTTGGTGAAGCCGGTTAAAGGAAAGCGAATTCTGGGTGTAGATCCAGGTTTTAAAAATGGTTGTAAATTAGCACTGATCTCGGAACAGAATGATGTTCTCGATACTGACACCATCTATCCGCACACAAAAAAGGACCAAATTATGATCTATGAACACAAGGTCATCAATATGCTGCGAAAAAATAGGTGAGTACACAAATCAATTGAATGAAACGGTTTTCTGAACGATAATTTCGGTATGTTTTCTCTCAGATGTGAGGTGATTGCCATTGGCAATGGGACTGCTTGCCGTGAAACAGAAGCTTGGATCTCGCAATTGATATCCCGTGATGTATTTCACTCGGAATCCGTTCAGTATTGCATTGTCAGTGAGAATGGTGCTTCGATTTACTCATGCAGCGATGTGGCCAAACACGAATTCCCCAATATGGATGTGAATTTAATAAGTGCCGTATCGATTGCGCGTCGACTAAGCGATCCGCTGGCTGAATTGGTGAAAATCGAACCGAAGCATTTGGGCGTCGGAATGTATCAACATGACATAAATGAAAAGTATCTCATGGAATCGTTAAATGAAATCGTATCAGAGTGCGTAAGTTTCGTCGGAGTTGATATTAACACAGCGAGTGTTGCGATTTTGAAGTAAGTTCCATATTCATATTGATCAATTGGTTCATTTCCAAATATAATAAAATGTTACATTACCAACAGACACATCGCTGGAATGAATGCAACGCGTGCCGAAAATATCGTAAAATACCGCGCAGAAAAGGGTCCATTCAAATCAAGAGACGAAGTCAAGAAGGTCAAAGCAATCGGAGCAAAGACGTTCGAGCAGTGTGCCGGTTTCATATGGATTGATTTTGCCACTGCCAATCTGAAGGGAAAACCAAACATTCTTGACTCAACTTGGGTACATCCCGAAAGTTATGAGGTTGCAAAGAAAATAATTGCCAAATTCCAACTATCGCTCAATGACATTGGCACTGAACCGTTTATCGCGCGCATTAAACAAGCTCAAGATGAAAATGCCACAATTGGCGAGTTGGCCAAACAATTTCGTATACCAGTGCCCAGAGTATGTTTTTATGATTTCAAAATTGACATTGTCCCTTCCATTTGATGCAAATTCTCATTTTTGTAGAGATTTTTTTATATTTGAATTTTACTTTTGTTTTCTAGGTCGAAGGTATCCTCGAGGCTCTTGCGAGAGAACTTCAAAAGGATTATCGTGATGAAGCTGACATTCGGCCACTCTTTAAACAAGGTCTCTTGAAAATGTCTGATCTGAAAGTTGGAACAACGGTAACGGGAGCCGTGACAAATATCACAACATTCGGATATTTTGTTGACATTGGCGTTGAAAATAATGGATTGATTCATTCAAAGCAAATGCGCGGACAAGTACCAAACATTGGGGATCGTGTAAACGCGTATGTCATGGCGGTTGATCAAGAACGAGGACGAATTCAACTTCGGCTTGAGAACATTCTTTGAACAACCGATATTTCAACAATTCCATTTTGTAATTTGTAATCATATTTATACTATTCGTCACTCGCACGGACTATCGTCTGCGGTGAAAAAGAAATTGTTGAGATACGTAAATGTTTCGATTCATAACTCCGAATTTATTATTCGTTAGTAGACAACTAACTAATAAAGTTAAAATTTTGTGGAGAAGAAAAAAACATTTTGTGATTATATCCAATATCCAATATCCAATAATTGGTCAACTGTATGACTTCAGTTTGTGTTGAATCATTTTTTACAGTAATTATTCAAAGAATAAAAATCATAATTTGTCATTATCAAAATTTGCATTTTTTGGAATTGAATGCGAAAGCAACTTGGTTACGCTTGAATTTTTGTTCAAAACATCAAAATATTTGTTTGAAGAAAATCGTCGATCATTACGCATTCATGCTCTGAAATTAGTCTATAAAAGTCGATTTAATCGAAATTCTTTTTTTGGCGAAAGTTCAACATTAAGTAAAACCATCGAAATCAAAACCAAAATTTTTGCTGCATGTCTACTATGTTTTTGTTTCTTTGTAGAACAATAAATTGCTTATCGCAAAATGACTCGAGGCGATTAAATTAAAATCATTATAACGCACTAAATAATGCCGTTTTCAGATAAAACATTGGTACAAATCTCAACAACCAAAATTGCTAATCGCGTGGTCAACAAATATTCGGTGTTTGCCTGTAACCACCGCCAATATGAGTGTGCGTTTGAATAAAAAAAATCGGTTTTTGGAACATAATGCATCGAATCGAATCGAACGGCCGCGTTAAGTATGCATTGGATGGAGTGTATCTTTGGTGTTGAGTACAGAAGAGATGCGAGTACTAAAAACAACAAACATTTGTATGGTATTCGCAGTGTATATGCACGGCACATGGTGCGTTGACAGTGTATCTGTCTACCTTTTGTTTGTTATTCCTTACCTCTTTAGCATCTCTAATGCTGCGTACTGTCATGCTTCAACTCATCAATGGTAAAACAGTTAAAAGTCATTTAACAACACACAGCACTATCTCTCTCTCTCTCTCTCTCTCTCTCTCTCTTTCTCTCTCTCTCTCGTAACACTGTGTATTTTTACTTGTGTTGTGCGTTCATTCAATTCTTCCTCTTCTTTTTCTTATTTCTCTCTTTGCACGCACTGAGCTCAAACTTTCCAAAACGGCATAAAATGTCCAAATCATATTCTAATTTGTAATTAAATAAACATTATTGTTTGTCAGTTTGACAATTTTGTTTCTCCACTCATAAGAGTTCGTTGAGTTTATTTTCAAAACGAAAAATTCATTTAGTTTGTCCACGACACCAGATAAATAATGACCTACATTGTTCAATTAAAAAATTGATGTGTCGTATTCGGAAGATAGAAAAAACGAAATTTCTAATCCCATAATTAAAACGCGTTGTGATCATGGTGAGTTAATATTATTAATTGATGCGATCAATTGAATTGTACATACATAGATAAATGGTGTGTATATGTGTTGTTTTTTTCGTTTATTATAGGGTTCACCAAAAACTAGTTCAAAGCCGAGCGGTAAAGCAGATGACGTAGTAAAGTCTCAAGAGCCAGTTGAAAAAACGAAAACGCTTGATGCATTAAACTATTCATTTTTGGATTTGCGAACAGCTCAAGGGCAAATCCTATTTCTTTTAATATCAATTGCACTGTCCGTACTCATTCAATCGCTTCCAATTGGCACATTTCGGTTTGCTTTCAATCAAGCCGAAATTCTACATGTCCACACCACCGAACCAATACGACGTGAATGCAATCAAACACCAACCAGTGCACCGGTCAAACAACCCACTTACTGGATTTATGGCAAAAGTGACAACGAAGCTCATTTGAGGCATGTAAAAAATGTGCTACAACGAATCGGCTATGTAAAAGTTACAAATGAAACCACTGACTGGGATTTACTCTGGGCACATGACTATCCATTTAGAGTACTCTATCCAAAGTTACAGCAGAATCTTAAAATGCACCAGAGAATTAATCACTTCCCGGGGTGTGGTTTTATTACAAATAAAGTGGATTTGGCCACAACCAATCTAGAATTCATACCGAAAGCATTTCGATTGCCAGAAGATCGGAAGAAATTCATTGAATATGCGGAGAAAAATCCGGAGAAAATGTTTGTTCAAAAACATAATCAACATCGTCATATCAATATTAAACCGGTGAAGGAGATCAATTACAATGATAACGATACATTTGTACAAGAATACATTGATAATCCACTGTTAGTGGATGGGCATAAATTCGATATTGGTGTTTATGTTATCATCACTTCCGTCGATCCATTGAGAGTTTATATTTACAAAGGTGACATTTTATTCCGGTTTTGCCCGCAAAAGTACTACCCATTTGATCCAAAAAACGTTGACAAGTACATTGTTGGAGATGATTATCTGCCCGTTTGGGATGTGCCATCGTTGGCTCCATTTTATAATGGTCTTGGATTTGGCATGAAAGATTCATTCGACGCATACATTCGCAAGTATGGACAATTTAATAAAACATTATGAAATTGTTGTTATTTTTATTGCCGGATATTTATTATCTTGCATTCGCAGCAAGAACCGCGATCCGAGCGGAGTTTGGCTTCAAGTTGAGGCAGCCATTCGAGGTATACTTCTGAACAAGGAGAAACATATCATCAATGCTGTAAGTGATTTTTAGTTTCGCTCAAAAATTTGATATTTCATAAACGGTAAACATTGAAATTAATTGATTTTCATGGCTATTTCAGTTGAAAAACTACCGCAACAAACGGAATTTCTTCGAAATGATGCGTTTTGACTTGATTGTCGATGATAATTTGCGCGTTTACCTTATGGAAGCGAACATGAGTCCGAACTTATCGTCGGCTCACTTTCTACAAAACACATTGCTGTACGAACAGGTCATCTATAATTTGATGAATCTCGTCGGAGTCGGCTCTTCAATACATCGTGAATCATTGCGAACACGGTCGGTTGAATGAACATATTTTTCAAAAAAAAAATTCATTGCATGAATTGAAGTACTCATATTTGATATTTTTTTTCTATCGCCTCATTCAGAACCACTGATGCAGAGCAAATGATGTCAGCGGATAAAAATATTGCCGTCTTGGCGGAGCACTGTGCAAGTGAAAAGTGTGCCGAATCGTGTGAGCTGCCCGAATGTAAATTGTGTCGACCATGTCTATCGGCTCAAGACGTAAGAGATTTGCATACAGCGTACCGTGAGCACGTCAATCGTGGTGATACCAAAAGAATTTTTCCAGTGCCAATAATCGATGGAAAACTACCAGATTTAAGTGATCTGAATGAAAAGAATCAAAAAATGTCACGCTGGTTTGCTGGCAAATGTGCAATGGAATCAACATGGTGCTCATAAAGAGAACGAGGGAAAAAAAACTACCAATGCTTTTGCTAAGTTAGACAAGTTGAAATGCACACATTTGAAAGAAAAGACAAATATTAGAATTATTTAGAAGACAGAAATATTTTTCAGTAGAAAATTAGTATGAAGAAGAATGCTTCCGATTGATGACAATACTATATAACATGTGAAGAGATTCCCATAATTTCTTCCGTCCGAAACGAATGAACAAATTGTTATTATACACAAATATTTTATTTTATTTTTAAGTTATTGTTGAATATTATTGCAGTCTAGTTTTCCGGTACTTAAAAACATATTTTATGAACTACCCGACCTGAATGTATGAAATAATGTGAATGCCAATAGTTCACAATGTAAAGAATTTTTTTTGTTTTCAAATGAAATTTTAAATGGTACAAACTATTTTATTCAAATATTCATGTCAATTCTATTGACCCAATATTTTAACATATGTTGTTAGTCAGAAAATGGTCGATTGAACCGCTCAAAATAAAGTTGGAAATTTTATTCAATACGTACATAGGATTATAAATTTTCTTTGAAAATTATGATTTTTCTTTCAAGTATCTGTTTCCTTTTTTCACATATTCTCAAGTCAAAAGTGATTGCCCATTCCATTACAGTAACGATTATTACTCTACACTATGGCGATGAAAAGAAAAGAGCGTCACAATAAAAAAACGAAGAGAAAAAGCACGACAATAATAATCTGCTGCGTTAATTGGAAGCGAACATTCGCATAATATGACTTTGACCTTGGCGCCAACCGAAATTATGGTCGTAAATCATTCCACACCGTGTGGAATTTGGTGAAATGTGTAAGTGATTTCGTAGAAATGATTGAATTTTTAGTTAACGGGGTCGATGTGATTGGTGTTGTTGAACGGTAAGCTATTCGCTGTACATTATCCCATCCATGCAATACACACGACATTCGATAACCTCGTGTTGGTGTTTGTTGATCCAAACGAAAATGCCATAGCAACCAATTGTTATAACACGAAAAACCGAAACCTGAACAACTTTTGACTCAATCAAACAAATGAAAATAGATTGCGACCGAAACATTACGTGAGTGTATCCAGTTACGTCCAATTTTTTTTTATTGTGATTTTACGCTTGTGATCTTTTTTTTTCTGGAAAAACTAAAGGAAACAAAAAAACTAAAAGTTTAAGCAATTTGATATCGATAAAACGGAACGTTTGCATTGTGATTGGCAAAGAATAAAGCACATTTGATTAAAATGAAAAATTCACAAAGAATCACACCGAAAATTCCCGATGGAATGGTGGAATTAATGAAAAATCTCGCAAAAAGTGTGTTGAAAGAGCAACCGGACAATATTTACTTGTTTGCTGCGGAATATTTTGAGAATTTGGTACGCGAACGTGATGGCAGCTTGGACAAAGGATATTCAACATTTCGTAAGTACGATGATGTGATTGCGAAGCGACGTGGCGGTGACGTGTGCCCGCGATGCAATTGTACTTTACATCCGGAACGAAAGGAGGATGACGAACCAGCTGAAGGTGAAGGAAATAGTTCACCAAGAAATGATGATGATGAAAAGGCGCTTGATATGAGTGTGAATGGTGTTGCAATTAAAGCGATGCCACGCGATGGCAAATCATCGAAAGGCCAGAAGAGTCGACAACGTTTGGAAACGATTCGCAGTGTGTCAATGGACAGTGCCATCGAAGATGACAGCAAATCGCAATTAACATCACCGAAATCAAATTCACAAGACAAACCCATTGATCCGCAGTTGAATTTACACAGTTTGAGTGCGTTGAGTGCAATTAATCCGAATATTTTGGATAACACCAATGAACACAAAGCTCATGAGTCCACTGAGAACCGTGAAAATGAATCAAATGAAAACGTTGATGAAGGAAATGCTGTTGTCGAATCGCCGAAGAATGAAGAAATTGTTGAGCCACTTTCGAATAATAAATTACCCACAGATGATGATGTTCCCGATACTCCAACAAATGACACCAGCTTAAGTGAAACAATTACCGACCGAACTGTAATTGAAGTTGCCCCGTTGAACAGTGAATCAAAGAACGATGAATTGAACACATCCGAATCGACTCAAGCGGACGATTTGGATGTGAAGCCAAATACCGCAGACACAATTCCAACCATTGTCACGGAATCGATTGAAGAACAAAATCCAATCGATGATGGTGATGTGGTTAAAACAACCGAACCGGCTGATTTGCAATTGGAACAAGTGAAGCAAATGGATCGTTTACGAACACCAGAAAGCGATTCGGGCTTATCGGAAAAGTCATTCAATCTCAATATACAAGAGAATGAGGAGTCCGTTACCAATGAAGTGAACGAAGCCAAAGATGAACCAGACAAGCTATTGAGCGTGAACGAGAAAGAATTTGATGCAACTTCCAAGGATGATTCGGGTATTGTGGATGTTGGGGAAAATCTTATCACTTCGCAAATGAGTACACAAAACGAACTTGCGAAAGTGGCCGAAAATGAAAAAGAAAATGAAGAGAGTAAACCAACTAATTTATCGGCTGGGGATGATGAAAACGTCGAGAATATTGTCGCCACTGAAGAACAACCCACAATTGACAATGTGAATGCAACTGAAAATGTTTCAGAGAATAGGTCGCAAGAAATGAATGAAAATGTTCCGAAGGAAAAAGAAAAATTGCCAAAGACTACTGAGAGCAACGTTTTGAAAGAAAAAAATGAAGCCATGCCGCTATCAGCTACCGCAAGCCAAATTGTTAGAAATGATCCTGTAATTAATGTCGAAAACCAATGCAACGAATTGTCAAGTGAAGAAAAGATGGTGCCAGATTCAACTGAACCTGATTCCAAATCAAACTTGGTGGAAACGACAGACAATAACCGCGAAAAAATCGGGACTGAAGCAGACGCAACGGCAATGACACCAGAGCAAGAGAGCGAAAAATCGGCGGAACCGACTAATGGCGAACCTAAAACAGCACAATCACTTGAAAATGTAGCACAAACACAAGAGAATAAAGAACAAAGCGAGGAAAAGCCACAATCACCAGATAAAACCGTTATAAATACGAAAGATGAGCCTGATTCAAATCAAACAGAAGGAAGTCAAAAAATACTTTCTAACGAGAATGATCCAAATACAAGCGAGTCTACAAAATTAGAAGAAATTAAAGAACAGCCATCAGACGAGACGAAATTATCTGATGAAAGTGAAAAAACCGGAATTGAATCGAATACTCAAGTCAATGAAGCTACAAATGATGACAATAAATCCGTTAAACACGCTGCCAATGAAGAGCCCAAGGAGATTAACGAACAAGTCAACAAAACTGATGAAAAAGAGAGCGATGTAAAAACAACGCCTGCAGACATAGAAAAAGAAAATATTAATGCCGAAATAGCTGAGCAAAGACAAGCCACAGCCGATTCAAGTAAACAACCTGAAGAGATCGAAGAAAAGTCAAGTGATACTTCGAACGAAGAAAATACAGTCGATGAAACAAATAGTGATCAAAAGCAAACAGAAACAATCATCAGTTTGGTTGAGCATGATGCTCCAAAATCAGCTGATCAAACGGATAAAATCGATAATAATTTGAACGAAACGTCAAACGATGTAACATCAGCACAAGGGAAAAACCACAGCACAAACAAAGACGAGCTAAATTCAGATGAAAATACACCAGAAATGAAGAGCGAAATTGAGACAGAATCCTCTACAGAGAAGCAATTGGAAGAGGAAAAAAACAAGAGAAATAAACGCGAAATTGGCAGTATTGATGAAGGTTCTACGAAGCCAGAAATGGCCGATGAACAGCCAAATAATGCAATGAGCACTGATAAATTACCGTCACCAGAAGGAAAACCACAAGCTGATGCACTGAGTTTAGATCGGGAACATTTGAAAGCTGATGACGAAAATAGTAGCGCAAACCAGAAAGCCACGATTGACTCGAATAAAAATGCTGTTGAAGCAGAAACACATGACGAAATATTGAACAAGGATACAATAAGTGAAAAAGATTATGAAGTTGTTCCTAATTCTCCTGAAAATGTTGAAAAAATGGGTAAAGCGGCAAAGAATCGGCAAGAAAAAACCAGCAATGAAGTTGAGACTGACGTCATACGCGTGGATTCAAAGCCACTGAAGAATGTGTCCAGTGCAAACACCAAACAAAATGAATTGCCATTGGATGATAATAATAAAGATATAGAATCAAATGATGAAAAGAATGGAACAAATGATGAACTAGACCGCACTAGTTGGGAAGAGGCAACCGATAAAATCGCCGAAAAAGTGACCGAACGAGATGCTCATATGCGAAAAGTGTCTGTATCAAGCTTAATTGGTGATAAAGATAAGGTCAACGATGAAGAAACTTCACAGCCTAAGCCTGAATCAAGTGAACATAATGCAAAAGATAATAATTCAATGGATAAAGATGAACAATCATCGGACAATTTAGCTTCTACCGAACAAAGTGCGGTGGATATTGAGCAAAAGTCTATTAATGGCGATCAAGATGAAATAGCCATAAAACCCGAGACACCAGCCGAAAGTGAAGCGGATAAACAACTTACTGAAGATACCAAATCATTGGCCTCTCTAGGTTCAGCTGAAACGAAATCAATCGATCAGAATTTTCTCAATAATATTTCAGATGAATCCAAAAAAGAAGGGTTTCAAAGTGTCGAGGGAACTGAAAACGATAAATCAACATCGGCCAAAGCGAGCGAAAATGATTTACATGGAATTGACAGCATTTCAAATGAAAATGATTCTAAAGTTATCACTGAGAGCGACCAAACAGAAAACCACATGGAAAATGACACAAAATCGATTGAACAAAATGATGCCGGAAACATTTCGAGCGAAACCAAACCAAATGAGGCACAAAGCAATGAAAGTGCTGAGAATGACAATAAAAAACCAACATCACCAGATACGAATAATAATGACAGTAAAATTTTAGCTTCTGTTCAATCCGAACTAGAAAACCGTATTGACATCGAGCAATCTGAAACGAAACTGGATCTAAATATACCCGATGAAGCATCGGATGAAGTTTATAGTACGCCACCAGAGTCAGGCAACGAACGAAGTGCAAATACAAATGGGAAAAATGACGAAGTAGATTCTAAATCCGCCACAGGTGATAAATCAAAGGAAAAAAATCCATCACAATCGGCTGATTTACCAGAAAATAGCACCGACACTTCGAATACATTACAAGATGATTCGCGCGAAGGCGTTGAAAATGCTAAGCACGATGGAAATAATGAAAGCAAACCTGATTCGCCAAAACCGGAACAAAGTAATTTAGTTGATGAGGTCAAGGAAAATCAAACGGTTTTACCTACGGAAAATACGGCAAGCCATTCAGAAGGTGTGAATGAAAGTATGGAAAAGAGTACAATGCCAACGGAAGAGCCAAGCGTCGATGAGCCTGATGGCGAAAAAGGGGAAAATCAAAGTGTGCAAAATGTAAACACCAGTGCAATCGATAGAATGGAAGACACAATGGCTAATGAAAAAGCACCAAGTGCTCATAGTAAAAGTATCGATAGAAAAGTTTCAATTGGAATTGAACCAAGCAACGAATATGACGCAAAGAGTACCAATGACGATGTGGCCAGTGAGTCGAGTGTATCACTGAAGGATGAATATGAACAAGCTGAAACTGAAGTCGTTGGCGATGAAAGTGTAAAGGATTTGGATTTATCGTCGAATCATGACTTGGAGCCAAATCAAGCAAACGAAAGTGCCGAATCAGAACAACAAATCACTGCCCTTGAAATACCACCAGAAAATGATGATAGTATCGATTCGCCGAAACAAATGCAAATGCAACCTGACTCATTGGACATATTGGTCGATTCGCTTGACGCCTCCTTGGAACCATCCGTTGATGCCGATTCACTTAACATCGATTCGCTGGAAGATAAACCGAGATCGGCCAAAAGTACCGACACCGGCAAATTAAAAGATTCAGCAGAAAGCATCATCGAAGAGGTATCGCGTCCTATTGATGCAAAAGATGAAATGAATAATAAAGCCAACCAGGACAATGACGATACCGCTCAACCATCGGTTCAAAATGAGCCTGAACGTAAGTAATTTCACAATGAATAATAATAAATTGCTTGAACGAATCTTTCAATAATAATCAATTTAATGAAGAAAACAACGAATTTAACTATTTTCCCTCAATAATTTATTTTAATCCCCAATTTTTTAATTACTTTTTGCAAGCCAACAATCAATTTATTTTGATGATGTGACAATTTTAATTTGAATCTTTTTGCTGTTTGATTCAGTTAACCAAATGATTTTCGATTAGATTTGTCAATGTCAAGTGTAAACGAAGAACAATCAATTGTTTTCTTGTATTATGAGCAAATAAAATGCACGATTTATTTGAAGAAAAACAAATTTAGGTTTATAGTCATTTTTTGTGTAAATTTTTCTTTTTTTTGAATAGCCGATTTTTTTTAGCTTCCGCTTGATTTAGCTGGCATGATTATGAACTCGTTTGTATTTTTTGTTGTTTTGTAGCCAACAGAAAGAAACGAATGCGGTGAGATCGATAAAAAGCGATGAAATTTTGCTTGAAAATGACAATCGTCACAATTTCATACATTTAGCAGCACTTTGTTATTTGTCAAATAGGTTACAGTTTTCTATTGCATGCCCTACAAATGTAATGCTGAGAGCACACTTTTTGGTCTTTCCTATTCGGTTTAACATAATTTTTTTCTTCCAGAAACAACGAAAAGTGATACAAATCATGTAACGCTATTGGCAGTTCCAAAAGTGAAACGAAGCACGGAAAATGAGTCTATTGATCCTTCATCGCCAGAAGAGACGGTAATGGGCGATTTGGTGGACTATAAGATCAGTCCTGACATAATGCATGACCAAATGAGAAATGAACTCGAAGTGTTGAGACTTGCAGAATATTCGGTTCCCATTCAATTGTTGGGCATTACAGAGGTCAATTCACCATTGACTCCGAAACAGGATCAAACTACAATATTCGTATCGACGCCAGATGATACAAAGAAGACAGCTAATGATCTTGAACCGTCAAAAGATGATGAAAATCAAAAATTGCGATTGGATGAATTGAAAACCGCGGGAAACGAAATTAAAATTGAGGATAAAAAAGAAAAAGCTGATCATGAACAGGAGGAAACTGATGCCTCGATCGATGCAAAGAAAGCCGACGAACAGTCAGAGGAGAGCTTTGAAGCAAAACATGAAGATAGGCTTGATGAAAAATCAAAATCTGCGGCGGAATTTACGGAGCAAAGTGCAAGTTTTTCGGAAAGTGTAAGCGACTCGAACACGACTGCCGCTACGGAAGATCAAACGGAGCAAAGCTCTGAATTTTACTCGACCACAATTGAAACGTCGGAAACTCAAACGTCCGAAGATGTCATCGAATTGGTTGAAGTGGTGGAAATTGTGGAAAAGATAAAATGTGTGGAGTATCTCAAGCCAATCAGCCATGATACGCCGAGCAGCGATTTATCCGATACTGATACAACCGATAAAGCCGAAAAAGTGTACACCGAATCTGGTGTAGATGAAACATCACGCGACGAACGCGATGAAGCGTCCGAAATTGAAAATTTCGATTTGTCGTCATGCGGTGAGGATTCGCTTGAGGCCATGTACTATATGATACGCAAAAATGAAATCATAATGGATCGACACAAGCAGACGAGTGCCAAAAATTGTGAAGATGAAAAGATCATATTTCCCGAAAAGGCAACCGATGATTTGGAGCATGCGGTACGTGAAGTGTCTGGCGGCAAAAAGGTCAAACTATGTTCAATTTCAATGAACAGTTCGGTGGATGACGTTATTCTGAAAAAAATGTCGAGCGACAGTGATGAGATACAGATACATGTGATTCCGAATAGTGAAATTGACAGCAGTAGCAGTGGTGGTAGTGGTGGTGGTGGCGGAGGCGGCGGTTCGAAATCATGTCCATTAAAAGAGCAATGCACAGCCAACGAATCAACGGACGACGAGTACATCAATCCAATTGTCGATTCAATGCGAAAAAATGAGGCAGCTGTAAATGAAATGCAGGCAAAAGCGTTAAGTGTTCAGCCGAATCAAAGTGAAACACAGTCGGACGAACAACTTGAAACCGACACATTTAACGAAATGGACGATATGATGCCGGGCAATATTGAACGTAAAATACTCGCGTCATCGGTATCCGAGGCAGATTCAGACTATTTTGAACTGCCGCCAACAGCAAGTCGACTAACAAAAGATGATTTTAACGTAAGTACTGCGTTTGAACATATGATTCGTGCCGACAATTCAACAACCGATGAATCCGATTCGACTATCGAAAGCGCAGCTACGAAAATACAAGCCACTGCACGGGGCTTTTTGACACGACGCCGCATTAGAAAATCAAGTGCTGGCACATCGGCCTCGAACGAAAAGCGTTCATCCATTGGCAATGCAGCGATCGATAAATCGCTTGACAATTTGATCGAACAACAAGAATTGATGGAAGAGAATGCATACGATGAAAGTTTTGAAAAAAGCTCACCGCACAGCCGTGACATGGTCGATAGTCAAACCATTGACAGTGTTGACAGTGAAAAAATGCTCGGTATAACCGAAGTCAAGGTTGAACAGCGTAAGAATGAGGTGACGAATCTGATCGAAAATGCCGCCAACGAAAACAGTGACGAAAAGGTTCCAGAAATAAATTTTCAGGGCATTTCAGAAGAAAGTGCCACTGCACAGCGACGATTGATGTTGCAACGAGGTGACGCAATGCAACGTAATTCAACACCCGAGTCATCCGAACAGCAGCAACAACAACAACAGCAGCAACAAGTCGACAAAGACAAATCGAACAAAGAGCCAAACAACGAGGAAAACAATCAGGATGCAAAAAATATGCATGACGACGATGATCCAAAAATAGACACTCCTTTGGCAAATGGTGAGTTGGCGATGAAATCAGTTTCTTTTTATTGTTGTCATGAGAAATTCAAAATTTAATATAGACGAAATGGTTTCGTTTACAGTTTCCAAATCCATTAGCAAACCGTTACGGGGACTTGGTCCACGACAGCGCTCAATGCCGGTGCAAATTGATGCACAAGTGATACGTGTGTTACCGAAGCAAGTGACAAAACGGGTGAAGAGCGCCAGTTCATCGTCTTCGAAAAATCATCGACCATACTTCTTTTAAAGCAATTCAACCAACATTTCGATTTATTTCTTGATATATTTAGCCGGTAGCTCATTTCTAGTAGTAGCTTTAATCACATAAAATCCCATTTGAATCATTATTATGTAGATAAAATATATTTTATAACCACACACACATTAGCATACATTTTTAGCAAGTTAAACTGTATTTTGATGCGGTAACATACCATCTGGACGGTTGAAAATACATTCAAAAGGTAAGTAGCGTTTCGAATGTATTTTCGACGCTGGGTAAGCTATTCTGAAATCATGCAACGATTCAATATTTTTGAATGTGTTTTCTTAATGCAAATGCTTCTTGAGAGCCTTTGAAAGCATCATCATTATGGCTACAATGTAACAAAACTGTTTAACATGACGACTGTCTCTATCGTTCTCATCTGCGATAAAAGAGCAATGGGCCGGCACGCACACATTGTTTACTAATAGTAACTAGTTCGAAGCAAGTTTAGTCTGAATAGTGCTCGCATCTTTTCGGCGCGCATTCATCAACATTCACTATAGGCCATCGATTTATATCGACATTAATTCCAAACATTGCGCAAATATCCTGATCGCTTCGGAATATTTCGCACCCGAGATTCACTTGTGGAATGCACAAATAAAAATAAAAAATCAACAATTAAAACACACACACACGCCGCATGATGATCAGCATCCGCCAACACGCGATGGATTCTCAATGAAAATAAACCAGAAAAAGAGCAACGCCACCAGACCATACTTGTTCTTGGTTGTAAATATACTCTATGAAGCACGAAAAACGAGAGAGAGAGAGAGAGAGAGAGAGAGAGAGAGATAGAGAGAGAGAAAGATGAATTGATGTTGTAACCTCATCAGAATAATTGATCTCTATGACGCCAATAAACATTTGTGAAAACCATTTTTTTTCAATGACTTCACGAAACGGCTCAGTGCTACCGAACTGAACGGAATCTAAGAAGTGTATACGCGTACACGAATCATCTGTTAATGAAAAGAATGTGAGCCGAGAAATCGCGCAGAAATGTATATTTATCAAAGGTGAAATGATAAAACAAAATAAACAAACAAATGAAAATAAATAAAACAATAAAACAATAAAACAAAGCCCATTCGATATAAGCTTAGAATTGGGAGAGAGATAGAAAGAGAATTGAATCGATGCGCATTGCGTCCAACAAACAAACTGTTTGGGTGATTCCGAACGTGGGGACTCGCATGCATGTGTATATATTTAGACATGTGTGCGGATGATGCTGTGTATATTTTCTTTTTCGTTTCTTGTGTGTTTTTTTTCTCTGTCGATTTTTTTTTTTGCAATATCTTTGGGCCGTTTCGGGAGAGAACGCTCGTTCGCGCGGTGGCGGTGTCGGCGGCGGCACACACACAAGAGAGAGAAGGAGAGAGAGAGAGACAAACCACATACATCGTTTGTGTTATAAACAGCCGCATGCGACACACACAGTATATATAGACACAAAACGTGTTTCCTTCAACGCGCTTTAATTGAAAAATCTTCATTAATTTTTCACAATTCAGTTTGCCAGTAACTGTCCACCGAGTAAGCACGCAAGCACCCCACAGTGAACGAGCGAACGTACAAAACAAACGCGCGAAAATTTCAAATTGGAGACAAGAAAAATCTTCTCACAAGTCAAACAATACACGAAAACTATAAACGTCAGCAGTTTTGATTGATCAATTGAAAATTCGAAAAATAAACGCGAGAAAGGCAAGAGATAAAATAAAAAAAAAAGTGCTAAAATAGAATTAACACGGAATCGTGTGCCAAATCGCGAGTGAAAAGAATTGTTTATTGAGTTGTTGTTGTTTTTTGAATTTTATTAATCAAATTTGCATAAGTTGAATAGTAATTATTCAACAGTTTGCTGAATCATATTTGTGAATTGCAAAAGGAAAGAGAAAAACACAAGAAGCAGAAAAAATGCATATTCATCCGAGTTCACCAAGCTCTTCGATATCAGAGGAAGACGCAGCGACGAAAATCCAAGCGAATTTTCGCGGATATCGTGTGCGAAAACAATTGAAGCAGAGTTGCAATGGTAATTTGGCGTCCGGTCAGTCGAATCAGCGCAATACAAACAATGCGACCGCATATCGTAATGAGCGCTTGGAAGAGACCAACGGTCAACGTTTCAAATCCAGTAAATCACTAGACAAGGAAAAGTGTGCCACCAAAATTCAGGCTGGGATTCGAGGATTTTTAGTGCGAAAAAAGCAGAGACTAGCAGCTGATGCAGCAACAAAAGTTCAATCAGCATTCCGTGGTTATCGCACGCGCAAACAGTTGAAGAATTTAAAGGAATGATGGTGGTGGCGTCAATCGAAACCAAACTATTTGACCTAAGGCTCATGTTTCCGACATCAAATCACTTACACTTGGTCTTGTTTTGTTTTTTTAGTGACATCATCGGCCGATCATCCAATTTTTTTTTCTTATTTCGATCATCTTTTATAGTCTGGAATTTAGAACAGCAACAACAACAAACTTCTCTAACAAATCGGTACAAACAAGGAAATCTCATGTGGAAATTTAAGCCAATTCCATTTTTTTTTGTTTCTTCAACGAGAAATAAACAAACAAGAAGGCAGAAGGGAAAAAAATTACAGTAATTATCTTTATAGTAAATAAATGTACTGTGTCGAGTCCCGTTTCGATGTCGATAGATTAGCAGTTAATTTGAAACTCGCGCGTGGCGCAGAGTACACCATTCAAATTGTGTGCGGATTTAGTAATATCTATTCATTTAATTGAATTTATTGTAGTTGTTGCTGTTGTTTCAGACGATTTTGAATACCAAGACCAAAATTCATAAATACTAAACCAAGATAGAGAGACAGAGATAGAGAGGCCGAGTAGAAACAAAAAAAAACCCGTAGAATCATGCATAATAAAGATACGGTGTGCGTTGTATACAGTCTGGGAGTTAATGAAAACGCGCTTGAATTGAAATAGTCTAACCTTCGTTAAAATTTATATGTCAGATCGATTGCGATTTTTTTTCTCGATTATGTGTAGTTATTTTTTCTTTTCATTTCAACGACGCGTGTACGCTCGTGAAATGTGTAATCCATAATAAAGCTTCGCAAGTGTATCGTTGAACCATACAGAAAAAAAAACAAATCTGTAGAAAAGAAACTGCGATCGATCCATGTAGTTGATAATAGTCTTACACTAGAAGAGAAAGTAAAACAAAACAAAAAAACAATTATTCAAAACAGAAGAGAAAAAAAGGAATTTACAAAGACAAAAAATCTAATTTCAAAATTTGTTTGTATTTAAATCACTCGACGGCTGCATTCAACTAAAGGAGCAATTTAATTTAAGTAAATAGATAATAAGCCACTGTAATAGCAGAACATTTCATATTCAGATAAATCTTATTTTCTTTTTCTTTTTTCGTATTACAAATATGTGTTTGTATGTAAACTATAGCTATATGTATGTGTAATGTAATATAGAGATTGAGAGAATGGCAATTGAAGCCGCAATAATTTTATTTAATAAATGAAATTATTTGAACCGAGAGAACGAAATGAAATAGAACCTGAAGTGTCTAAGCGTTCGTTTATTTAAGCTATTTTAATTGATGTTGACGGGAAAAGCATGTTCATATATCAGTGGATCAGCGTTGTGCTAAATGTACGAAAGCCGCCCGGTTCGGTACGAGGAGTGAGACTGCTCGGCTTGGATTTGTTGGAACCGTTCCCAATTTCAACGTCAGCTCAAGAAATGACGTGATACGTGAAACTAATAACCCATACAGTTTCTTTTTCTTTCACTTCGCACACTGTGGCTTTTCTTATGCCAATCAACGGCGGCAGCAGCAGCGATGGCATCGCCGTTGATGAATGACGCAGCGGAAATTTCAAGATTTATGCTGTTTATTTATTAAGCAAAAGGTTTGGTATCCATCACAATCGATCAACGAAAAAGAAAAACAAAATTCGAATGGTTTGTCGATTTGATGTGCATGTGATCGCTTCAAGTGGCCGTCGTCTCGTGTCTAACTCGAAAATGAGATCGATGCCTTTCTTTTATGATTGTCGATTAGCCATCACCTTATTCTTGAGTATCCTTTTGAGTCGTCACCGCGATTTCAGTGATGTTTCTATTGGGAAATTAATACGAGAGGCGCATAAATACAAATGACCCACCATTAATAATAATAATCATGAATGACGTATTTCACCGTGATACGCACGAACGAAAAGAAGTCTAATTTTATTAATACAATTTGATGGCTTTGATGATATGAATCCGCTAATGAAAAATAATCGTGAAAAAACATCATCCGAACAACAACAACAACCAAATGTTCAAAAGAAGAACGTATGCTGTGAGCACACACAACATAAACGCGCCGTGAGAATAAACAGAAAGACTAATGAAACGAAACAAAAAATAGAGATCAATTGCCCTTCAGATATGACTTTATTCTCTCTCTATGCTAAAAAAAACACACAAATCACACAATTAATACCGATTTCGAGGCAAACATTTTCATTTAACACTCAAGTGACGTTCTCCAATTACACATATGGTCATTCGCTTCGTTTTTCTTTCGATCAAGAAATTAAACAAAAACAAACAAACAACAACAACAATGTATTTGCCCTGAAATAGACTAATCTATTGTCTAGTTTTCATATGTTGCGTATTTAACTACCTCAAACGTCATTTGAGTGTTAAAATTAAACTGAAAATTGACAACTCGTTGTTAAACACGCAACAACGAACTGAAACAAAAATTGAATCTCCTCATTAATTCATGCTTTGTCGACAGGGAAATATATATGGTTTTGAACCCAACAACAAAAACAGTCAAAGAATATTTTCACCGATTTTTCCGTTGGCTCATTCGATGACGCGCGATTTAATCAAATTCAAAATGAGATACGAGTAAAAAAACTGCAGCAATAAATGGCAAAAGCGAGTAAATGCGAGTACATTCAATCATAGGTTGTTTTGAGCTCTCAATCAATTATTATGCTCCTATAGAGAAAATGGATTTCAATGTGAATTGATTCAATTAAAACCAGCAAACGGAGAAAAATAGCGACGGCCCCAACAACAACAACAGTCGCGCAACTAATAAACGAACAACACCGCAATTGTTTTATCCATCTGTCTATTATTCAATCTTTGATAATATCTCTTTCTCTCCCTCTCATTCGGCAGCGATTTTCGACCAAGTGCTGTGTGCCCCCGGTGAAAACAGATGAAACAACAACAGTAAAAAGTATAATCAACATGATTGCAGATGATGCCATTTATTTTTCCGTATATTACAATTTTTTTTTGTTCATTTTCATTTTCATTTTTCAATTATAATCCTTTTTTTCCTGTTACTCTGGCTTTGCGCGAAAATCAATGGTTTGGCGAATTTTCGATTGTATACATATTTCCCATTAACTTTATATCGCCGTCGGTGGCGTCGCTAAGTAGAAAAAAAAAACAACGTAGCCTTTATGAGTCTCAAGTGAAACAAACGAACGCAGAAAAAAAATCGGAAAAAGAGACGAGGTCCATTTGAATAAAAATAAATGCTCGTATTAAATTACGTCGGGTGCACGAGAACTCTATTGAATACAGATAGACGTAATGTCATTCAGTTCACCACACTCGTCATTTTAGCACACAATGTAACTCATATCTTCAATATATTAAAATTTATAACAAAATTGTGTGCCTTCTTCGTTTCTCGTCTGTTGGCTTTTTGTTTCTCTTCCTTCTGCCAAGCGATGTGAATGAATCGACCAACGGATCTCTCGAGTTACATACTCATACACACATATGGCTCCTCAACGACGTCAGCGCGGCCAGAGTGAGCCGATTTTTATGAGTGAATGTGTTTGACGAGCAACGACGTCATTTGGCAATTGGCTATGGTCAATATGTCGTACAAAATCCATTCTGGTATTTTCGAATCATACACACATCACCAATATTACGCTATGTCCTCGCCCAATTTACAATTCTTTCAAATTCACTTGTGTACTCGATTGGATCGCACAGTGAGTGAATCATTAATTTGACCAAGTAAGCATGTTTTTTTTCCTGGTTCGAATAGAGGAACATTGGAATTTTAGATATTCTCAGAATACCCTGCCGTATATTTTAATGGAAATGTGTGGTGCAGCAGACTCTATTTTGAAATAGTCACGTACAAGATTAATGTTTGGAACATCAAGTCAAAAAAAAATGCGTTTCATCGATTCAACTAGCCTAGCTAAAACATACACGCATGCCCAAACTCCCCAAAAACAAGCCGGTCCCAATGAGACAGAAAAAAAAACATATTTTGTTTCCGTATTGCGCCCGCATTTTCCTTTTTATCCGGAATTTTCATCGAATGACGAAAATCCGCACGCATACCAAGTATACGTGTTCAGTGACGGTGTAAAAGTGTCATACGATCGATATTTATTCAGGCGTGTGGCTAGATCGCTTCCAAAAATATAAAGTAATCGCAGGGAAAAAATCATAAACAAATCAACAGAATGACACACAGTCTACTAAAATTAAAATGCGTGACGATATATTTTGATCAAAACATACGAATAACCGATGGACGACCAATTTCCCTGCCACAACAACAGCAACAATAACGAGCAATCGATGATATGTGATCGTCACACGAAATACATTTGAAAATGCAAGCAAACAAAAAACCATTGGGCAAATAACGATTTGTCTGTCGTATTTCAGGAGACGTTATTAAATCAACAAAGGCAAATGTATCGTCAAATTAGAGCGCTCGCATAGATATGCTTAGAGATTGCCGGCATTGGCACATTTATTTCGAAAAATAGACAAACTCAAATCGGCATAATTTACAAGTGATTTTCCGCCAAAGCGACTGAAGCAGAGTATCAAGTAAATGGCTCAATTTGCAAAGCAATATTGTTGTGTGGCTGTAGTGGCACCCAGAAACGGGCCATAATTTAGCATGAATCATTTCTCTACAGGTCAATTAAATGCTAATTAGTAGTTCATTGTATATATAAAGTGTAAGCACAAATGATTGAGGCAGCGAGCGCGTCTTTGCGAACGTGTACACAATTTGAGTGTCGACGGAGTGTTTGCGTTGAGGCACTTGAAACAATTGCAGCTCGATTTGTCCTACAACACCAACTATAACAGCCAGAAATAACGAGAGAGAGAAAAAAAAACACACAGCGCTGTTCCATGTTTGTCGAATGGAAAACGATCAAGCGGATCGAGATCACGTATCGGAGTAGCGTTTAAAAAATGTTTGTTATTTAGTTGAAACGAGTGAAAAATTACATACAAATCAAATCGATCGTTCGTTCATTTGGTCGGGTTTCGAGAACACAGAGCCCGATATTCCAAATACAGATTTGTTTCATTTGCTTGCATAATAACATACGATGTGTGTGCCTGTGCCTGTGCCTGTGCCAGTGCCAGTGCCAGTGCCTGTGTGTGTTTGGAGCGTGAGATACTGATGAAAAATGAAAATTTTTCCTTCTCGTTTTCCTATTCCTATATTTGATCGTTTATGCGTTTCGTTGGATCGCGGTGAATGCAATCAATCGCCGCCGTGATTGCAGCACGGCTTTTTTGTTGTACTCAAATGTTCGTTTTCATTTGTTTCGATTTGAAAAGGTTACAATGCATTTTTGTTGTTATCATCATCGTCGTCGTCAGTTGGTTCTCACATACTGGCTGTTCACATACTAAAGATGCCCAACATGCAATCCCATACTACATGCTATTTGAAGGAAAGAATGAAAGAAAACAGAGAGAGAGAGAGAGAGAGAGAGAGAGAGAGAGAGAGAGAGAGAGAGAAAACACCACAAAATTGGCTGCCGTAGATCGAACATGTCACTTTTCACATTCTTTGTGATCGCGTCATTCACTCTCTTTCTCTCTCTCTCACTATTCCAATGTGTGTATGTCTGTTTTTCGTTCCTTCTCTCGCTCTCTGTCTATCCCTCTGTTGCCTGTTCTCCGTCTCGTTTGCTCGTTCGTCGGTCGTCGGCCGAAGTGCGAATGAGACTCTAAAGCGATAGCACCCGAGACACGAGTCGGTTGCTACTCTCTCTCACACACTTCAGTATGCATGTAGCACCAGTGCTGGTGGTAATGCTACAATAACACACACAGTTGGTCTCGCACATATTATGATTGTATTGTTGCCTGTTTCGATATAACATTTTTTTTTGTTTCTCTTCTATCTCTCCGTTCTTCGGCCGGTCTCGTCTCTCATTCCTTTTTCCTTTTGGTTTTATTTTTTCTTCGCTGGAGCCTCTGTGTTCATTTGGTTTGTTGTTGTATTTTGTTCGATCGCGTTCGTTATTACCATTCAAACATCACCAAATATGTGAAAGACACAAAAATTATGTCTGTTATTTTGTGTTTCTCTGTTCATTTTTTCAATGAGTCTCACTTGTTTGCTCGGTCGGTTGGTCGGTCTTTTCGGGTCGATACAGGCACATGCACTACACCGAATACATGTTGTGCAGCAGCACAGCAAACACTGTCTCTCTGTTCGTTTGTGCGCTGTGTGGTTTTTTTTTCTGCTTTCGCTTGTATGTATCCGTTTGGTTCATATGGCTCGATATTCTTGTATTCATTTTATTCTCCAGTGTTCTCTTGTTGTGCCGATCCGATTCCAATTCCATTCGCCACTTGTTCTCTCAACTGCTGTGTACCATTCATATATGGTTTTTTTTTCTGTTGTAGTTTCAAGTATGTGTATTGATAGGGTACTTTGATGGTGTGTCGAGAGAGAGGCGCACATACACCATACATACGATACCAATATTATTATTTTTTCGCTTCTATCTTGTCTTCCACTGTGTGTCTCTCTCATATATTCCTTCTTTTATACGCTCTGCATCGAAAATATGTTCAGTTGTTTCCATTTGGGTTTGAATATGTTTTCGTGGATACCAAACATACAGAGCGAACAAAGACATAAACAAAATACGGCTGCCGAAAATGCCGAACGAAATTGAGCTAACAACGCGAGTGCAATGATCATCATAAAATTTCGACTTGGTCCACCGCATTGTGTCTCTGTTTTGTTGATGTGTTCTATTTACTTGCTCGCTCACATCTCTCTTACTCGACAAAGTTGAAAAAAAAAGAAGAAATATGTGATTTGTTTTGTGCTTAATAACCAATTTTTGATCCGCTTTTTCTCGTGTGTTTCGATAAGTTTAGTGTTAATTTTCGACTGTATCTGGCAACAACAAGTGAATAACCAACCAAAAATAATACATTCAAAATTACAATCAAAGCCAAGTAATCAACGCATACGCAGCACACACCGCAGCTAAGATGGACGTTATAAATTCAAATTCGTCCGATGGTATCAATAAGAAAAAACATAAACGGCCACGAATCAACGCAAAAATCAAACAATTCTCCATGGAAATATACTTTATGTGGTTTAGTGCGTTAATCTTTTTTGCTGAAACATTTGTTGGTAATAATCCTTCTTCGTATTTAATTCGCAGAAATTCCATCGTTTAACCTTAAAAGCATAAAGAATTTAAAATTTAAGAGGAAAAAAAAACGAAAGCACATAAAAAAAACACGGCATGTAGTAAACAAGTGTATGTTATATGAAGAATGAAAAAAAAATATTACGACGAGGCTGGTATTTTTGTTGATGTTTCGTGCGTTTTATTGTTGATGTTGTTGTTGCCCATCAACAAAAACAACAACAATAATACATACGAGCGGCGTTTTCTGCATGCCCTTTGTGATTTCGATTGTGTGATGAACTAAGCAGAAAAAATGAGAATATTCAACATAATGAGACAAAATAGCGTTTAAAATTCACTTTATTTATTTGTGGTTTCGGTTTTTTCTCACTCTGTATCTCTCTCTCTCTCTCTCAATTACAGATTTCATGCTAGTTTGTTATTACTTCGTGAAGAATGAAGTACTGTATGGTGTCATAACGTTGACGATCATCATTGTCCCGTCCGTATTATGCCAAATTTACTCGTTGTGGCTTCTACGATCGGACACTACGGTCAGCGCCAGAGCATTAATGATGCACATTTTATTGCTCGGCATTCCATATCGATACCAAAATATTCTACATAAAATCTCCCGCAAAGATAAATCGATGGCCGAAGATGAAGAGCACACCGTCGAAGTGATTGTCGACCGTATACGCGATGTTAATGCCATACAAACCATCAATGCCATATTCCAATACTGTCCGCAGTTCCTGTTCCAGTCATTTCTCATAGTCTATCGACACTACAAATATCTTATGACAGGTATATTTCTGTTTGATTTCAACTGTTTTTTCCCATTTGCAAGCAACACTCTAAAATTCAATTGATATTTTTGTAGGTGTTTCAGCTGGTCTGGCTTGTTTTTCATTCCTTTGGCACATTTTTATCCATTTTTTCTACTTGATTCGACGCTTTAATGAGGATTATAAACTGAATATACATTCCACCGGTGCGCCAACCCGATCAACCACCCATATCATTGATAATTTATCGTCGTCACTCAATTCGAATTCTCAAGTTTTTCTGCCAATTAGCAGTATGGCGGAATCGCATGAACCAGCCACAGTTACTCCAATCATTGATCTGCCAAATGTGATTGATGCATCCAATTTACCCGAAGATTTAAAGACATTCGAAAAGGCGTCGTACAAGACCGACATGAAAAATTTCGTTGAATCGAAAAAGCACGGCGCTAAAAATGTGGAGAAAACAAAAATATTCGGATTTAATAAACGTCAACCGATCTACGAACACGAGGAATTTGACATGATGTGTGACACCAGCAACTTTTCAACGATATTTTTCGAGGTAAATGATAGTAATTACATGACTTCAAGTAAATTGGATAATTCACGCATTACATCATCCACCCAAACTGAACCGACCGATACGAAAATACGTGATTTGTGCAAGTCCATGGATGATCTGCAACAATCGAGCCCAAATAAAGCGGCTATGTTCCATAAACTCTCTTCGTCGACCGACAATTTGAAGCAGATCGAGTTGAAAGTTGATTCAACCGACGATAGTCCCAGCTGCTTGGACAGTATGCAAAACATATCGGACAGTCGCAACAGTTTACTTAAACGCAAAGGCATTTGTTCGTCACAGGAAATGCTACACTTGGTTGATATCATGAGCGACCACATTCCGCCGGAACAAGTGGACGTATTGGCCAAGAGTCTGATTGAATTGGGTGGCGCGGAAAGTTTACGAGCGGAAGCCGAACAAAAATTACAAGATCTCGATCGTGTATCGCTGCTCGAACGGCTACCGGAAATTATGGACGATAAACTGCTCGAGAACATTGATGCCGCAATCTATGAGAATCAAATCATTTTCCAAGAACGAATCCGAAAAAATCAATTGACAATACAAAATTTGAAGCTACAAGATCAAATGCTGTCGAAATACATAGAAGATTTTAAATTGTTGCCCGGCAACGATGGCATGAGTGTGTGTGATTATGAAAACATGTGTTTCGCAAATATTGCACAGCAAACACATGGCATTAAGCATTGGCGAAACTATCTGCAAGACATGGACACGAACCAGCATGACGATTCAACCATACAGCATAGCAGTTTTTATATGCATACAAACACTATTTCCAATTCATTTACCGATTTGTACATCAATGAAAATGACTTTGGGTCGACGGCCAGTGGTCAGTTCAACGACAAAAATGTCAGCACATTAGTGAATTACAGCTGTGATGACGAGGGTGCGAGCGAGAATTTTTACATGAATATGACAAAAGGTATACCAAAATCAAACGATGTAACCAATTCATCGTCACCAATGCTACCAACGTATAACCAATGCCAAAAAAATATTTTGGTGCAAACCATTAACAAAATTAACAGCGTCGTCGATTCACCCATTAAAATTCGGACGAAATCAGATGTGGCTTTAAAAAGCGATTGATTTGTTTTTTTTTTTTTCATAAAGAGAAAATTTATAAGACTTGATTTAAACTGAAGTTCCATTTGGTTTCTTAAAAACAAAAACGATAGCTTTTAAGATTTTATTCATGTATTTTCTACAACATAAGAGAGAAAAGAGTGAGAATTTATTAATTGTGCGATATTGTGTGGCACAAACATGGTCAATACTGTTACTGTATTCGACCTTTTTGAAGCCATTTTTATTTTAGTACGTGCTGAAACGAAACGTGATTGAATAAAAACAGAAAATTCCTTTTGAGCATATAGCATGTAATTTTGTAGCTTGTAATGGCCATAGAACTCTACAACTTTATTTTTACTGAACAAAAAACAAAACAAATGAATAAAATGATAAATTTGTCTTGTAAATCGAACTAAAAATAAATTCCGTATTTCTATCGACGATGTCGGTGTCTGTCCTTGTCACGACGATCATCTTCACCTCGTTTTCGTTTGTTGATAGGATTTTGGGGATTAGCAATGTCATCAGCATACCAATCGTCTTTTTTCGTTGCAGCATCCTTGGCTAGAATATTTCCCATGTCCTCAAACCTCAATGTGTGCGACTGTTGAAGGAGAATAAATTTTTCGATTATCATTTGAATTTAGGTCATTATTATACAGAAAACGTGGTCAATGTGCTCGTTGTCTTACCATCCATTTGTCGGAGTTTAGTTCGTCATCGTTAACCTCTTTTTTAGATGTGTCTTCTTCATCGTCTTCATTCGTCGTTTTCTTTATGTTATGCAATTTCGACTTGAACTTGTTCAGCAGTTGCAACGTGTAACTTTCTCTATGAAATTTTGAATAACAAAAATCAAATGTGAAAAAAATTGGATTCAGTTCACCGACAGACACTCATTGTTCTAACCTTTCAGCGCCTTTCTTTGGAATTTCTTTCTTCAAATTGCCATACTTGCGTTGTTCGGACAAATAATCTTGGACCATTTCATTGGCATGCTCCTTTTCCTTGGGTTTGACTGTTTCCTCTTTCACTTCACGCGTTTTCTTGTCATTCTTGTACTCCTTTTTCAAAGCTTTGATTTCATTTCGGATTTCATTACTGAAAATTCATCGAAAAAAAAACCAATTTAAATAATCGCCGAAAAAATGTGTAACGAAAAATACATTATTAAATTAGAATGAGAAATTAAATTGCATTAAATGATCACATACACAATTATTTCATTCTAAATGCAATCTGAAAAAGAGTTATAAAAATACAAGAAGCAAATGAAGAAAAGGTAAACAAAATGGAACAAAATTCTTTACGCTTTTTTCTGTCGCTTCAGTTTTCGTTCCCTCTCCAGTTCGTTGGTGAACTCGTCTGAATCAGAGTCCGATTCCTCCGGTTTGGGTTCAGGTTCCGGCTGTGCCTTTCTTTTTTCACCTTTATCTGATGCCTTCTTCAATTTGTCTCTGACACGATCGGTTTTTTCCTGCACAGTATGTTCATCGTCCGCCTCAACCGTCCGTTCTTCGATGTAGTCATCATTGCCCTTTTCGATATGTACAGCCTCCTTGCTCAATTTCGGATCATCGATGACATCATGTACGGATTTTGATTTGCTAGCATTTTTCTGTACAAAATCATTGGTCTCGGTTTCATCTTCTTCGGCTTCTTCACCAAACGATAAAAGTCCAAAATTCCTGAAGAAAAATTCTCAAATTTTAGGCCAACATTTTCAATCGTTCACAATAAATTGTAACATACTTGACACCTTTCTCCTTCTTGGACCGCTTTCTGTCTGTGGAATCTTTTTCGCTTTTGGTCGATTTGCGCGGCACGATATCGTCGAATGGATTCAGTAGCACTTCGGTTTTGTTAATTTTATATGGATAGACTGGTCTTTCATTTGCGTCAATATCTCCTTCTTCCATTTTGAGCACATTGTAAATGGTTGAGCCGCTAACTTTGCCGAAAATTGTGTGTTTGTTCTGCAACTCCTGAGTTTCACCCAACGTAAAAAAGAATTGTGAACCATTGTCATCGCGACCACTATTCGCCATTGCCACAAGACCACGGCGGCAGAATCGCAACCGAGTATGAAATTCATCTTTGAATGGCTTGCCATATATCGATTCACCGCCGGTTCCATCGCCGTGCGGATCACCACCTTGTGCAATGAAGCCCTTTACCACACGATGAAATATCGTTCCATTGTAGTATCCTTCCATGCACAATTGAACAAAGTTTCGACACGCCAACGGCGCTTCTCGGGACCATAGCTCGACGTCAATGTCACCAGCTGTGGTTTTTAAAAGAACCTAAACCGAACATACCATCCAAATAAATTATGAACTGAAGGAAATAATGAATTTACTCTACCTTGCCCGACGTTGGCGGCTCTTGAATGTAAATATTACTCATATTTTCTGGTGAAAATGCTCTGAAACGTTGGTTCAATCAGACAATTTTATGTGCGAGACCAAAGCGTTGACGTTTAAACACAAAATAAAATCGTAAACAAGCAAGAGAGAATATGGCAAGCGTTTGACGTTTGTTGGTCTGGTTGTCAAACACGCTCACAAACACATACACACAAACGAATGATGTATATAGAAGCAGTTACACGCGGGCACAAAAAATCATTTGCAAATGAGGCAATCTTGTCTTTTGGCCCGTTTCTTTATTTTTTAATGTCATGCGATTTGTGCGAAACAGCTGCCTAATTACTGAGACCATTGTCTATGCGAATTATGAAATAAAAAATGCATTTTGATGTGGTTTTTTTTGTTCATTCTTCTTCATTTTCTATAAAATATATTAATTGGACTGATTATATTTAAAAAAAATGATTGAACACTTAAATGCTAAGTTCCCCTGCTGTCGATGGACACAGAACTTTTAAAACGATTCGTTTCGTGCGAAGCAGAGCGATTGTGACCGGCCACAATCCGTTTCAATTATTCGATGCCATATGAAGCATTAGGTTTCCAGTCAATTTTTCTATTTTCTTCAGATCCGGCATAATCTCTGTTTTATATTGAATACACTGCAAAAGATGTGGACAATTTTTCAATTAGTTTTGTTTCTTGATGAAATTGAACGGTGATTTAGACTTACTTTTACATTGTCTGTGAATTTCAATTGAATGAGCCCTTTGGAATGTATGTATTTCAATGTGAATCGACAATTGCCCGGATTTTGCATAAACATACTTTCGGCCGCAATCTCAAAATCTTCCCAGTCCTTTACGTACACCATTTTCACCGGATTCTAGATAACTCTCTGTCCACGTTGTTGCGAAAATTGTTGTGGTTTTCACGATAAAAAAAATCCACTTCGTTCAAATGCGAAACTTTTGCTTCTGAAGAAATCGGTGTAAACACCAAAAAGAAACCAACTTGACAAATACAAGAAGAGTGGTGACTGCCAACAACAGCATCGATACACTCTGAAGTTAGTTTTCTTTCACAAGTCATTACACCTCGATTCAAGACACACACCAACGAAATGATGCTTGGAACATGAGATGGCGCCACCTACTCTTTGGCTCTTTAATTGTAATTCAAAATGATTGCAAATTTTGATTTGGATAAACCATTTTCTTTATTCACAAAACCATTTTATGATTTTATTAAATGCTGCCAGATGATTACATTAAATGATCAAATTATTGGATTTTTCATTTCATTTTCTTTGCGCTAATAATCTTAAATAAATTAAATGGCAACGCCGTCAGCGATGCATTTTTTGATGAGAGGATGTGGGGAAATGTTATCAAATGTTCCAAATTTTCAAAGACGACAAACGTATTAAATCGCCTTGATCTGCACCTCCTCTGCTATTCAAATATCCAAATTCTTGAAGATTTTTCAGCTTGCCAATTGCTTCGAATACTGCTGTTGATGTCGTATCACAAAATGAGAGGTTCTTCAATTGTGGGTTCATGTCAACAAATCGAACGATTGATTCGTAACATAACAGCAGCGACAGCATCACACTTTGACAATCGAACGAGATGTTTTAATGCGTTCAATGAATTCTGTTCTGCATATCGCTGATTCAATTTTCAGCGGCCAAATTTAATGATTGATTGACTATTGATTTCAAAGAAAGATTTAACGAATTTCATTAACCCTAGTCCACACTCCTTTTCTAAAACCTCATTCCACACCCCTCGGGTCTGGCCAGACCCGTATGCATTTACATGCATTTGTATGGGATTAAGTGATGCATGCCGGCTCAATTTTAACGGAACTGATAAAAGATAAGTGATATATGTCTTCAGCAAAGTTGTCGAGCAGGTCAAGCACTACAATTTTTTCAAAGACAATATCTTCTTATCTCTTATCAGTTCCGCGAAAAGTGATAAGAAAGAATCGCGTTTTTTCGCGAAACTGATAAGAGATAACGGCTTGGTATCTTCGGTAAAGTTGTAATATTCAAGGTCCCCTACGAATTTTCTGAGGGCAGATATCGCTTATCTCTTATCAGTTACGCAAAATACGCAGATAACCTCAAAAAAGCCGCGAGATGAACGCGTTTTTCCATATCGTTTTTCATGTAACTGATAAGAGATAAGGGATATGTTTTCAGCAAATTTGTAAGGCAGGTTGGGTTCTATAATTTTATTCATGATACATTTCAATATCTCTTATCAGTTACGCGTAAAATCGCGAAAACGGGAGTTATCATTTTTTTATCATTCATCATTTTTCGCGAAACTGATAAGAGATAAGGAGATAGTATCTTCACAAAAAGTATGGGACTTGACCTGTTCTACAACTTTGCTGCAGACCTATATCACTTATCTCTTATCAGTTCCGTGAATAATGAAAAGGGTAATTTTCGCGATTTTTCAAGTTTTTCGCGTATTCCGCGGAACTGATTAGTGATAAATGATAACTGTCTTGCAGAAAATAAACAAGGTAATGTTAGAGAGGTAAAAAACCACATAGAATTATCAAAACACAGTATATTCCATATGTTTCCATACAAAATATATTGGGGTCTGGCCAGACCCGAGGAGTGTGGAATAGGGTGTAGTTTTTGTAAATCCTTTTTTCATCCTTTTTTTGTTCAGTAAGGATAATGTTTTATTTCATAAATCGGTAGCCAATAAAATTTTAGGAGGCTACCCGAGAGCACAAGTCGCTAGCTTAACTAGAAATATGTTAAATTAACGTTTGAAAACGAAATATGTCTGGCCAGACCCAAGGGTGTGGATTAGGGTTAACTTTGGCGCGGCTAATTTTTCTGTAAAAAAAAGTTCCATTTGCAAATGAAACTAAGCTAAACATTGGTCTCTTGTACAAGAAAATGATCTTTGTACGGCAAATCGAAAATATCACATGAAAATACTGTTATGTTTATGTCTTGACCACAAGCATTTTCTAATCCGATAAACAATAAAACTGCACTCGAAAGCTAGCAAATAATAAGCAACTTGAATCGTAGTGGCTGTTCGAAATAATGTTTTCTGTCCCAAAATCAATGAAGATTGCGTGATTCTGGAGCGATGGCAATTGCAATAACAATAACTATAATGTTATGTGTATTTTGAGTATCATTTTGATTTCGTTGCAATGTTTTTTGTATAATTTGGCCATCGGACGAATCAATTTCATTCCTAGAACTATTTTTCTTTTATCGCTCGAATTTGTGGATGTTTTGTGTGATTCGTTCTTTGTACAGATTCCTTTTCTTTTATATGTTTCATCTATATTTCATAGCTTTTTTTTGTTGCTGTCCTTGTTTCGACTAGCGAAAAATTTGCGGCAAGACTTCTTTTTTATGAAAATGAGATCATAAAATTTTACTGTTGAATTTTGATCGCACTGTAGTGGTAGTAGTTTGTTGCAATAAAAGTTCGTATGCAAAAAAGAAACAAATGCTTCCGCATTGGACACAATTTCCGTTTCAATTTGTGAAATTCGGCGAAGAAAAAGTGAATCGACCAAAGTGAAATCTATAAAAATAACTTCCGATGATTGTTGATACGACTTTGGTCGTAATACCATACACGCACGGGATGAGCCATTATGGTTTTCACGCAAATTAACTGAAGTAGCGAGAACGAGAAAAAGTTTTTTTTTTCGTGTTCGTGACCTCGGTAACGCCAATTATGCAGTATTATTTTACCATAAAATCGAACGAAGTGCAAGATACTTGTGTTCGCTCCATTTGATTACATTCACTCTGCTGCTGCCGTATTTTTCTCTCTATCATCAATGTTCAAGACAAGGTTACGGTGTGTTGTGACGTGCTTGAGCGTATCATTATCAGTAAGCGAAAAAGAGTGTGGCAAACTTTTCACGGACGGCATAAAAAAGAGCAAATTGAATTGAAAGGGCCAACGAATGACGTTCATATGTGTATCTGTGTGTAATGAAACAAAAAGTAGCATTGTGAAGGGCGGCGAGAGGGCAAATGTTTGCAAAAATATCTAATTTATCGTTTTACTGCCATGAGTAAAGCAGTCGTTGATTTGTTGTACATATTCTTGTTCTGCATTTTTGCTTGTAATTTCGGCAACGAGGGAAATTACATGGAAAAATGGTTTGCCGATTACTTGCTGCTAAGATGTTGTCGGGTAAAATCCGAAAAAGGGGCACAAAATAATAAAAACACAATAGATAACAACAATATTTTCAAGTTTGTATTCTCATTTCGCTCATACATTTATGCATAAGTTTCCATTTCAAGTAATGCGTAATAAAAACACTTGGGATTTCAGTGAGTGAAATCATGTTACGTCGTTCGAAATGTATATTTTTGCAATGTTTACACCGATAAAAAACGATTTAATAATATGTTTGTAACAGCAAAAATCTTAAAATCACACCAATCCCATGCGGAAGAGAGGGCGATTTGAATTTAAACTCAGTTTTAATGAACGATAGAAATGCAAGCATTTTGACGACAAAACTCAAATGCTAGTAGTAAGCAATAAAATTCCGCTTATCGAATGTCATTAGTTAGTTTGATATGGTTTCGATCGATGCCATAAATAGTTGTCATTTGCATTCGCAGCGGTGTGCGGGTTGGCGTCGTAGCAAAATGTGTACGTCGTATATATACGAAATTGGCTGTGTTATTGGCATTATAGCAATTACCTTTTTCGGATCGGGAACTCCCAAACCATTCTCAGATAACATGTATTGATTACACGATTCCTTTCTTTGCGAAAAAAGGAACAGCCATAAAAAAACAACACATAGAGAGAGAGAGAGAGAGAGAGAGACAGAGAGAGAGAGAGAGAGAGAGAGCGAAGAGAATTGGATGGGTTTGTTCATTGTACTTACATAATGGCAATTGCGGTCGATCCAATAAAAAAACGGAGCAAATGCGATACTGTGTTTTTTTCTCTGTATTCGATGTGCGTGTCCAGCTGGCCACAGAGTAATAAACATTTACAACCAAAACGTTGGCGCTTTTTGTATGTATGTGGACGTTGGTCACCGAAATCAAATACAGATTTTCAGTTTCAATAATGTGATTTGGATTCTTTATCTCCGTCTCTCTCTCACTCTCTCTTTCTCTCGTGTTCGCCAATAACGGAATTTTCGTGTTGTGCTGAGTTCAAGTTTCGTCCATTTCATTTGAAAATTGAAGATTGCTCTAATAGATTTTCCATTTGATGGACAGTGTAACGGCAATACGAACAACGAAACTGAAATTGAGAAAAAACGACCATCCGATTTTCACAATGGCCTTTTCGTATGTACATAACGAAAGTAAGAGGATTTTCACTCAAAATGGCGTCATCAGTGGAACAGCTTTTTTCTGCTTTCTTCTCCATCTCTTCCGTTCTTTCGCTCTTTCTTGCCCGTTCCGCATCCGAATTTTCTCTAATGCTCATTTAACTGTATGTAACATTGTACATAAAATAATGATGCTGTGCATGTGTTTGTGGGGAATTTGCTTTTTTTTATTCATTCGCTTGCTTGCTCGCCACTTAGTTCGGTGTGTGCGGGTGTATGTACTGTGTGCTGTGTGCTTCCTTCATCTCATTTTTATTCCAACTGTGCGTTCATCATATCCTTCGTTTGATCTTTCACGCGTTTCTCTGAGCATGCCAATACCATTTTATCTTCGATTTTCGCACTGTATTGCGCTTTAATGCTTGCTAATTCATGATACAACATATCGTCCATTAAATATTCGCATGTTCCTTTTCCCCCAAGCAGCCAATCAAACCATAGCATAGCAATGGAAAAACGCGGCAAATGGTTTCATTTAGATTTTCTTTTGTGCTTTTCAATTTTAACCTCTGTTCGGATTGGCCTGATCGCCGTGTGTTTGTGAGGGTGACGGTGGTGGTGGTGGTGGTGGCATTGGCATCGTGGCGACGACATCGACAAAATTGTCATTCATTTGTAGACAAATGGGTCGATTTGTAAAACATTTTCGCTAAATGCGTATTTTTACCGCATCGTATGTTGATATTATCGTTGTGTATGATGTTGCCATTAATTCGATGATGTGGCGTCTGTTTATTTACCATTTTCCAGCAACAGCAAATTAACTCTCGCACCATTTTATCTCTCGTTTATTTTTTACACAAAATACACGTACATCAACTTCCTTTGCCCAAATTGTTTTTTCTCGCTCTATCTCTATCTCCTTCGCTCATCCGCTTTTGCTGGCTCGCGCTTTTTTTTCTTTCTCTTATCTACGCGCTTTTCTCGACCCAGAACGCTTTGTTTGCACAAGAAGCTTTTATTGTAATTAATTATGGTAATTCCATTAGATGGACGTTTAGTACGTTTATCTCGTTTATCTCGTTTAACACGGGAATAAAAAAAAAGACGGAATACTGAATGGAACATATCACCCGCAGTCATATGCATGAAATACGAAACACGCGCAATCACTTGATTGGCTCTTGGTCAATGGTCATAGCTATGAAATAAAGTAGAAACATCAATTGTCTCATTACAACGATTCAATTTACACCATGAAAGGGGAAAAAATAACGCAACGATGATTCATTTTATGTTTAAGATCTAAATTTTATTCTTCCATTTTTTTGTTAAATTAAATTCGTTCATAAAATTTTTTATTATCTATACAATTGGAATCTGTGAGTGGATTATGTCTTGCGGGCATTTGTTTTATTGCGTGTGTTGACATGGTGATTTGAATTATTAAATAAGTTGATCATTTTTCATGACATATTTTTTATGTGTGTGTGGTGTTTGTGTGCAGTTTTTCAATTTTGAGAATTATTTACAGGGTTTCTTAACTTCTAGCTTTAGATGATCTAAAATGTAACTCTCGAAAATGCTTAAAATGGAATGATTAACATTATGCAATTACTATTGATGCAAACACGAATATCTCTACATCTTTCGAACTTTTTTCTGTTGCTGTTCAATTTTATCGATTAAAAAGTGATTACACCAATGTGGATTATATTTGAAATTATTTCAATTACATTTCTGTTTGATTTTAGTTGTTGTATTTTTTGGAAATATTTCGAGACATTTCATGGTCAGTAAGTATCATGTGAAACTAATGAACAGCCGTAAGCGCATCTTTCAAATTAATTTATACTTGATTCTAATTCTCACGGGGAGTCCTCTTTTCATCTTTTTGCGTGTGGAATTGAGAAAGCGTGAATGTCCCAATTGTTTTTTTCTTTTCTTTTTCCTTTTGCTTGGCAGCAAATCAAGTTGTTAAAGTGTGACCCAAATTCGTTTCAATTCACCATTAGCAACATGATAACGTGCCCAAAATGACATAGTTTAAAAGACAACTACGCGAAATATTTGTGGGAATAGATTCACTAAACTACATCATTTACTTTGTGTGTGTGTGTGTGTGTTTGTTTAACTTATCAAATTACAAGCAATCTTAACCACTTTGGAATACTATGTATAAATGAAAAGCATTTGAGACAAGCCTATAGTAATGAAATGAAACGAAAAGTAAACGTAAAAATTTGTTGCCAAAAGATAACGATGGAAATAAGTATAGAAAAAAACATGATTCTTAACATCTACGCTTGCAAACAAATGCTATGAATATTAATATCTAAAGACTAGAATATTTATTCAAACTTACTGGGTTGTAATTTTTTGTAACTTTAGCGTGTGTGTGTGTGTGTGTACAACTCGAGCCATGAAGCTCACTCATTAGTAAAAATTGAGTGGCAAGAAAAAAAAAGAAATAAAGACCAGAACCTAAAAAAAATTGTTTGATTGGATTATTCGAGTGTTCAATTTAAATGAAGGTTCGATTCGTTTGCTGGTTACACGACATACGGCCGAAAATGGATGTCTTGATTGCCATCGGCAAAAATCATGGGGCGTCGATTGAGTTTGGCCGCTGCCTGCATACTTTCTTCAATCGATAAATTGCTATTGTATTCGGATAAATTCGAGCTCAAATTGACAATGTGCCGATGATGTTGCTCCAAATTGGCCATCGCTTTTGGTTGATGAAATCCATTTGCATTGCTCAACAGTAGATTAGCGTCAAGCATTTTATCGGTCGATTTATTCACAACGATATGGTCACTGATCGGCCCATTGATGGATTGAATTGAGACGAGATTTTGTGTTGAGCTGCCAGTGGTGGGCGCTGAGATCGGTGGTTGCGTTGAACTGGACGATGACGACGATGTTGATACAGATGATGACCCACCCGATGACGATGACGACGATGATGAAGATGAGGATTTCTTCTCTTTGGCCTCCTGTTGTGCCTTCTTCGAGCGTTTCCATTTCATTCGGCGATTTTGAAACCAGATTTTAACCTATATTTTTTGTTGTCGGTAAACGATAGAAAAAAAAGTCAGTTAGTATACAAGCCAAATATAAATTTTCAACGTATAAATACAGCTACTAGGGCTACGGAGACAGGGTGAGAGCGAGAGAGGGATGAGATAATGTGTTCAAGTGTGGGCGTTGCTTGGGTATATATTTGTGTTGAGACTTATGTGGCAAACGTGGTGCACGACGTAACACACAACACACAGATTCCGTTTGTGTGATATCTTTGAATGCGATTATTCTATTTTTTTTATGGTTGCCGGCAAATGGAAACAAGTTACCCTCCGCAACAAACTATCTGGTATTAGGCAGTGACAGAATGAAAGATGAACGATGAACGATGAAATATGCAAGAAAATGTCTGCAATGATTATGATTTTCTTTTTATTTCTTCTGCTGTAGTTCAGTGTGTTATGAATGTGTTATCATTTAGAGAAAACCCACAATCAGAAGCATAATCATTTCTCTGTATGTGCGCGTGTTTTTTTTCTCTTCTACATTTCATATGTGCACTTCGATGTTGCGAATTGTACGTTGTTGTTTTTCCGTTTCGGATTGGTTAAAGCTCTAGGGTAAACAGCAAAAAACCAAATCATGTTTAACTCATACACACATTCGGTCAGAAGAGGAATAATAACAACAACAACAACAGAAGAAACAGAAAGAAAAAAACACCCAAAGCCAAGTACAACGATGATTGCGACTTAGACCGAGAACAAGATGAAAAATTAAATATGATGAAACATTTATCTAGATTTGTATTTTTGTTGGCAAGTCGAAAGTGATTTGATTTTGTAGCTAAAGATCACAAACAAACAAGCAAACAAACATTCACACATACACACCAACATGGAGAGAGGGAGAGTGAGAGAAAAAATAACTTGAACATAAATCTTGGAAATCGTTATTTGTGTTCTCAAACTCTATCGTATTCGAATAGCGACTATTTCCAATGGCGAACGATGATGGCAATGGTGGTCTTGTTGTCGTCGCACATCGCTTTTTCGTATCTCCACTCAGAATGTTCGACATTTAGCTTCTTTCATGCTACGCTGTACTGTGTCATCTCGTTTACCAAATCTGACGGACTATCATTAATTTTTCATATCACAGAGGCGCTCGATGTCATTTATGCGTCTGTCTATTTTGATTCGGATAGACAGTAAGGTATTTGTCTTTTGCTGTTTAGCCAGAAAAAAAAGGAATCAGAATATTGCTGCTGAGCTCATCGACTGAATGGATTTATTAGATCTACTGTGATGTGATACGAAACACAATCATACATTTGCCAAACGCACGAAAAGTATCAACAAAAACGGATACGTTTTTTGTTGTGTTCTATTGCTCTCAATCAATTCGAATGCGATTCATATAATAAATAGTCGTTGCAAAACATTTTTTTCAACACGACAAATGGCCCATAAAATCATTTGCACTTAAGTATACAATAAAAGAGAGTGGTGATGTTTTAGAGTTTTGCACGCTTAAAAATTGATATTTTACTCGCCTGTGTCTCGGACAGATGCAAGCAGCTGGCCACTTCAAATCGCTTTGGTCGCGACAAATATTTGCTTTGTTTGAATTGCTTTTCTAGTTCGAGTAATTGTTGTGATGTGAAGGCGGTTCGTGGCCGTCTTGTTTTGCCCAACATTGCATGCGGCATATGGAGTCCACCTGGAAGAGAAAAGAAACAAAACATTAAATGAGAAAATTAATTAATCCAGTTGATAACCGTGGCCATATTTTTTCCCCTCTAATTGCTCCTAAATTAAGACTTCTAATTGAGTTGAATCGTTGATTTTTCCGGGTAAATGTGTCTAATGAATCATTTGTTCGCCATGCGCTTTGCCTGTGTGTATATATGTGTGTGTGTGTGCGCAAGCAACGAATGACAGAAATTTCCATGCATGCGTACTCGGTGCCGTGTTCGCAATGCTAAATTCAATTTCGGTTCGAATAGCGAAAAGAACGATGAGATGCAAAAGAAGATGGACAAAGCCAAATTAGTTCGGCAAACATGAGCAGTTAATGGGAATGCATGCTGAATGTGTTATTCATACCTATTAACATTTAAAATGCAGTAGAGATTTCAAGCGTTCTCCATGCATACGCTGTGGAGCGTCATGGCGATGTGATTATGATGTTGTGTTGCTGGCGTTGGTTCGAAGAATTTGAATGCACTCACTCTCTTTGACTGCGTACAGACGATACGTGGTTTTGTGCAGTTCATTTAAATCTAGTGCTGCTGGTAACATGATTAGTGTCATTTTAATTACACATACCAAATAGTTTTCCGTACGTGTGGCATATGCGAATGAGGAGTGGAAGTGAAATGCACTAGACAAGCACATCGTTTAAATCGATTTATGCGCTCAATGCACACAACCGTTTCACCGAGGACGACAACAACAACAACAACAACAACAAAAATCACGACAAATTCCACAAAGTGTCAACAGTCAATATACAAAACCGTTCTGGTTAATTTGAAGTAATCAAGTGTGCGTTTTGAGCATGCAATGCTGTAAAGCAATTGGCGTTTACACATCGGAAACAATAGTGGGATTACAATCGAAAAATATGGCTTTAGTTTAAGAATTTTTTGTGTGTGTTGTTGCGTCCAGGGATATTTCTAATCGCATGACGATATCATTCTTTGCGGCGTCAATTTTTGTGTGCAAATTCGAATGTTTTCATAGGCGACGACAATCGTATCTGATGCGATTATAAATTGCATAATAATGAAGCAAATGCATTTGGTGCCTGGTGTTGCAACCGATGCTGGTTATTGCAGACACAGGCAGGCTGCCTGGTGCTTGTTAATTGTCCGCCGCATGGTTTAATTGAAGGGAAATTAACACCATATGTGTCAACACGCAACCAGAAATAATAACAACTATTGACCATATTTTCGCAGCCGATTAAATCCTATCGCACTATTTTTTGTTCCACTCGCTCTCCTCTGTTGCGACCCATTCACTTTCACATTTGGTCGACTCAATGGTTCACAGTTTGAGCACAAAAGCAATAGTAGTTTTTTTTTCAACGTCCTTTTTGATACCGAGATTCAGGATATTCTGTCTATTGTGATGACGACTAATTCTTTTTTCTTTATCCATTTTTGACGATTGAATTAAGCAGCGGTGGTACTTTCAGGATTTCGTCACATTCATACAACAATATAAACAGAGAGTCGGCATCAATGCACAACAATAGTACGGGATAATAGTAATAAACACACAATCGTCCCCTTTCCATTCATTGCGTTTTGTCACTTTTGGTGTTGCGCCAATGAATTAAAAGCGATAAAATAAAAATTTATCAACGGCAACAAACGAGAGATGAATATTGTGACGAAGGGTGCCGAAGATATGTACCGCACAACTGTACGAAACACAGCGTTGTTGCACACAACACAGGGCAGAGCACAGCGTAGCAGCGGTGCATTTGTTTGTAATTTAAAAATTAAGTCATTGTTAAATGGATCAAAATTAGAGGTGTTAGTGTAAATAGATAGTAAAACTAAACAAAAAATAAAGAGGCGAACTCGTCTTTACTATCTGTCGATCGACCGACCGACCGACCGACCGACCGACTAACGATTGTATATTTATTATTATTTTTTTCTTTGCTCGACACCATTTGCTTGGGTATGGATTTGAATTTTCCGAATCAGTTAGCATATTTAGTTAGCTACTTAAAACTGATGACACAATGTTCTAACAATTGATTTTAAATCGTAACAATTTTAATACCATTCTATCTCTAGTTTTGGTTGTTGTATTGTGCGTTTACTGTTTATTTGTACATTGATCGTGTTGATTGTGTGTGTGTATGTGAGTCATTTTTGATGGCATTTACCACAACAGAACAGTAGTCAAATAGATAGATATATGTACTCCAATTTACTTTGTGTTTAACAATGACAATGCATACAAACTGATGTTACTGACGAACATTAAAGACAATAAAGTGAAAGTACACAATTGCAATTTGGCTCTCTTCTCCGTCTCCCTCTCCCTCTCTTTGCCTCTGTGCCCAAAACGCTCAATTGTTTTGCATTTCGGAACACTGACTTACGACACCGAATTTAAACGGCAAATATATTACAAATCAAGTATGAATTGGGATATTATTTGTTTAGTCGCCGAGAAGATGATTGCCTTTCTCTATCCCGTTTATTTCGCTTGTAGCGTTTCGATTGGCGTTGTCCTTTCGGCCATGTTACACAAATACAAAACATTTCCCCACATAATCATAAATAGTAATATCAAAAATTCATGCTGCTACTGCTGCTGCTGTCGCTCTGCTGATGTTGTTGCTCATCTGTCTGCTTATGCTTCGATGGATTTTCGGAGAATTTTGCACAAGGCAATTGCATGAACAATTCATAACAACAACAACAAAAATCCAATCAAATGAAAAAAGCAAATAGCCCAGAATATGACATATTCACATGCAGAAAATTTAAAACAGTCGCAACAATGCTGTGTGTGTGTACTTTGAATTTAGTATTGGCGAAATGATTCTGAAAGGAATATAATGCAACAATCAGCATTAAAATGGATTATTAGTTGAATCAACATTGTGTGCCACATTGAATTCTCGACTTTTCGCCCTGCACAACATCTCCAATTGCATCCATAATCTAGTGTTTCGGTTGTTTTTCCACTCAGTAAATGTTGGTCAATTTATGTAAAATCGTTATACGATGAACGATACCCAACCAATCAGCCAACCAATGGAGAACAACTTGATGTTGACTAAATGCAATCAATGATTATTGAGTAGTTTCATTACGATGATTCTGATTTGAATAAATTTTCCGATGAAGACAATTTTTCTTCTTCTTTAGAATTGAAATGGAAGAATTTTTAGGATTTTCTTTTGGAAGAGCAATTGAAAATGCCCTTCTTCCTAATCACCGATTAGAATTAATGTGCAAAAATTATTTTAATATATCAAACAATTGATATTAATTTTTTTGCATAAATATTCGGATAAAATTTGAACAACTGTGGCAAATGGATCAAGTCGACCATATCAAAAGAGGCTTGATAAACAAATGGCATGTGTGTATTTGTTTTGCTGGTGACAAAATCCAGACTCTTTCCGCATGAATTAAACGCAAATAGATTGATTCTTAATCTCTCGCTGTTAGGGATAAATCAGTCATGCATTTTATTGAGGCTCAGCGCGGAAAGTTAGTTTTGAAATGGGAGCATTAACGATCAAACAAGTGAATCTAAAATTAATCGTTTTCATATGCAGTGCATAATATTCGGTGAAGACCGAACTATTTTGTATCCTTTCAAACATATTTGGCGAATGGCAATCTGTATGCATTTTTTTTGTCTTTATGGATTATTTGCCGGCTGTTTTAATTCAATGGGTCGGACTGTGTGTGTTTGTGTTTTGTGACAGAATTATAAAATAACTAGTGTTATTGTTCGACAAATGTAATCCGGGGTTCGCCTTTGTTTGCCGATAATCTATCCCATATTTTTTTCCACTCTATTTTGTTCTGCTCACATTTTGTGTCACTTGATTTCATCTCGGGCAAGTTGTACGTGCTGAAAGCTCAATTGGAATGGTAAAAATCGGAAAAAGCAATTAATAACACTGTGATAATTTATTCGGGCGAAAAATGACGCGGCCGAAGAGAGAGAGAGAGAGAGAGAGAGAGATACTGAGTCAGTGAGTGTCTGTCGTTATACGAACGACACGTACCGAGAAACTGAAATATGTGCAACACATTAATATTCATAATTTTTCGGTCAATCCCAATAGTGTAATAAATATTAAAATCCCTAATAAACGGCAGCACACACTCCAGTGTTGCATGGGTCGTGGTAATGGTTTGAATTGGCTGTCTGTGTGCCATGCATGGATGACACCTTCGTGGTGCGAGAAACCGAAAAATATTATTCTAGCTTTGATTGCCAGTGTGATGGGTGTGCGCGGATATGTGGATGGTGGATACGGAGCCAGCCAAGGAGCATGGCACCAATTGAAATGAAGCACTTATTTGCACATTTGCACATGAACGCTAAAATAACATAGACACAACATCAACACATCGCCGCTACGGCTGTTCGGTACTTGATAGAGGTGGGAAATGGTGAAGCAGCGGCACTGCCACTCAACAATTATGATTTCGATAAATGTCAGATAGACAACCGAAAGTGATGAATATATAATTCAAATGCGAGTGAAACAAAACACACTAAACATTCATTTAGGTATGATGAGGATCGTCAATTGCCGGTTTACGGTTTTTTCTTTCTACTACGGCTCGATTTGTTGTGGCAAAAGGCACGATGTGCTATGTGTTTTCCTTTTGACGTTCGCTCTAATTCATACCGAATGGCACTCATCTTGAACTAACTCTGTATCTGTCCGAACAATAGCGACACACGTATTTTGACAAGCTAGAGATAGAGAGAACGAGAGCAGAGACAGAGAATGGGCCACGGCAGCCTCTTATTGTACAAACAATAAATTTTCCGAGAGAAAGAGACACACGTACAAATGCCAATTGCATGCGCAAACAATACACACACACACACACACAGGCACATTATTTATTTTACTAGGGACATTTAAAACCTGCTAAATTCAAATCAAATAATAACAATAGCGCACAAAAAAGGGATCATTTTGAGGGCTAATGA